CCAATAGCTCCTAAAATATCAGCAACAATAGTCAATAATCCTATACAAACTCCTCCACAAAAAGCTGCAACTGGAATATAACCAGATAAATATTTAACCATAGATTCTTCTCTTAAACCTTTAATTTTAATCTAGAATAAAAATATAATAGATACTTATTCATCTTTGAATTTTCTAGCAACATCTTTTGCACTTTCACCTGAAATTTGAATCCAAAATTTAGCAAAGAATCCACACATAAAAACAACAAATAAAACATAAACAATAGCATGAATAGGATCATTAATAATATCTTTAACATCTCTTAATGGTGACATATAATAAGCTAAACCTCCAATAGGTACAGATTAACCTCCAAATTCTGCCTCTTACCATGTACCTAATAATTTAACAAAGAAATTAGTTTTAAATCTTCTATAAAGTAATTATGATAAGAAATAAACATTTTAAACAAGAGTACTCTGAATAATCATAGGAATATTTGAAGTGTAAAATAATTTAATTCCATGTGATGATACTAATCCTCTAATTTTTTAACTGGCTAATGGAACTTCAACTCTGAACCCTTATAAATAAATGACTAATGAGATCACAAATAAAGTAGCTAATAAATTATTAAGATTTGGAGCTGATTCTCTAAAAAATGCATAATAAAGTGCTTAAACTAAAAATAATTGATTAATATTACGTGTATTTTATTTGGTGAAGATCAAATGGAAGAAATTAATAATAGCTCCTTCAAATTGAGTTCCAGCTTCAGTTGACAATGTAATTGGTGAAAATGATTTCCATAAAATGTTTTCACTTACATTTGTAGCAATAAATAATGAAATACCTGATCCCAAACCTAAAAGATTTAAAATTTTTATATTGTACCATATCCTTTTTAAAGCATTTCATCTAACATAGTGACAACGACTCCTGCAAATGTTAATTATAATAAAATGAGTATGGCATTGCCTGCTCCAATCTAATTAATATCACCATATGCACCAGACCAAATGTAAGCCATTCCTTCAGCAATAGCCATAATAAAGGATAATACTAAAAATTGATATTAGTATTACATTTTTATGCTGCATTAAATAGTACTTTGTCTTCTCTAACAGAATGATTCACTTCAATAAATCCGACTCCACTTAGAAATTGTAAAATCATTCCAGATGTTACAATAGGTGAAATACCCAATTCCATCAATGTACCTTTATTTGAAGCCAATATTACTCTCATCCAATAAAAAGGATCAGATCCTAACAAATATTCTTTTGAAATATACCTGATGTTCTATATACACCATATAATGGAATTTAACAACAAATCAAATAGATAAAGAGAGTAATTCCTGTAATGAGCACTTTAACCTTTAAAGGTTAAGGAAATCTTGGCTCTTATACTTCAGGAATAATAGAAAGTGCTGGTCTTAACAAATGAAGAAGTCTCATAAATTAAAATAATAAATTAACACGTATACTACTCAACAATTATCTCTTTAACATATAATTCATTATAAATCTTTTCTTAATGGTCTATTACGATTTAATTGACTTCTTATTTATGCCTATATTGAGAATAACTGTTTTAGTTCTGCTTCTACCAATAGTTTATTTATATTATCACTCTTACTCAAATCAACTACTTTCAAATATATTTATTATTTAATATCTAACATCTGTATCCACAATTCTTGTTAACTCTATCCCAAATATTATACAATTTCAGAGATAGTTTTCTTCAACTCATTATTATGCTCACTTATTGATTCAATTTATTTCTTATGGTATTTTATTACTTCATTCCTTTCTCTTAAAATATTCTCACAAAATTCTTACCATTTTTTATTTATTTACTTTCCTTGATTCTTTAAATAAGCTAAGTAACTTCAAATACATACCAATCTTTTATAGCAATTCCTCTTTATCAGCATTTTAATTATTACTGATCTTATGAAAATTGCTAGCACTGTTACTCATTTTGCTCTATTTCAAAGTTTCACTCAATACACTCTTTGGAGTTGTTATTCTAAAAGGATTACAAGTTAGATCTTATATTTTGCTTTATAAATCAAATATTATTTAAATATTATCCTATATGTGACTCTAGTATTTTTCCTCCTGATTTTTTTTTTATACATAATAGTTCATTAACTAAACCATCAAAACAACAATTTACATATTCTACTAAAAACTATACAATCATCTTTTTATTACTTCTATCCATCTCATTTATCAAATCTAAAAGATTCTCTTTACAAATAAAATTTATTAGTTAATCATAAAGTTCATCTTAATTGTCTTACATCTAATTTATATCCTATCTTTAATCCATCACCAACTATAACTGACATGTCAATGTTTCAATCTCCTGTACATATTATAATTATTCTTCTTTTAATTACAACTGTTCCTTCTCATAATTTGATTATAAATTCTCATATTCATTTATTTATCTTTCCAGTTCTATTATTTATTTCTACTATTAATCAACTGTCTCTTATTAAATACTTTTATACATCTATTAATTAAGCTTTATCGTTATATAATTATTAGCACATCTCGAACATTTTTTAATATGATTTTAACTTTTCATCATCAAAATTTTATGCTCTTTGCTAACTTATTTCCTCTATATTCTATAATTAATTATCAATTTTTATATGGTCTGATTATTTAACTTGAACTGGCAAATCCTCACTCGATTGATGTGTACTTTTTGGGCCAACATCAAATACAAAATTTGCTCTTATGTCTTTATATGCTTTACTCATCTATAAATAAATTATATTTATAATTATATTTCTAAACCTTTACTTATATAAATAATTAAAAAATGAACAATTAACCTTTTTTATTCTAAACTTCTTTTAGAAGCACCATACATTGTATTTTTTTATAAAATTTATTTTTCTATTAATTACTTATTTAGAATTTCAAATTTAGTTTATTACTTATTTGTGAATTCTTTTTTATCATGAACTTTTCAGTTAGAAATATTATGTATTTTAAGATTTTATAATTTTTCTAAATAAATTTTTGATTTTATATTATTATTATGAAGTATTTTTATTTTCATTTGAACACATTAAATTTATAACAATAAATAAAATAATTCATTCTTTTATATCACATTCATTAGTTTCTAAATAAAAGAATATTATTTTGTTTCAAATTGAATTAAGAATCAATTTAAAAAATATAGATAAAAAAAACAAGAAACAATTTTCATTTTGGAATTAATTTGGCATTATTATGGACGGATATTGATTATTTATGATATCTGGTAAAATTTTTTTCTTATCCAAACGACTAATTTGTTTAAGAATAACTTTGATTTAAATTTTGTACTTAGTTATTAAGCATCTAAAATAATTATGTTTTTAACCTTTAGTTTTAAATCTTTGTTTTCTGAAATTAATTACTTAATTTACTATTAACTATCCTTAAATTTTTATTATTAATTAGATAACTTTTGTTATAATAACACTTCCTATTAAATTAGTTCACTATCAACTGCTTCAGTTCTAACTAATTTGTTTTATAGCACCAGCATTTCTTAAATTATTTCTTAACACTCAATCTAAAAAAGTGGTTTCACTATTTCAAACTACGATAAATAATATTTTTACGGTTTTTAATAAAGCAATATAATCAAAGTTTTTGGCTTTTTACTCCAATATTGAAACTTAGCTGGATGATGCTATACTTTTTTTATTTGATAATTAATTCTTATTGTTATTAAGCTGTTATTGTAAAATTATCAATTATTCTTTCAACTATGCATTCTCTTTCTCTACTTCTACTTGTAATTCAAGTTGAGTAGACAATTTTTTATCATACTTTGAATATTATATTTATAATTCTTAAATTTCTTTATTCTTTTGTTCTTCCAAACATTTTAGATGAATAAGTTCTTATTTAAGTACTCGTTTTTATTTATCAAATAATTTTAGATCATTTTATTATTATTATAATTAATTTGTTTATATAGTAATCTATTATGATAATTATTAATTAATTTATTGAAAGTCTGTAACTTAATGTTGCAAATCAAATATTATTTAAGATTTATCTTAATCCAATTATTAATATTTTTATTCAGAGTATGATTAATTTTATATCAATTCTTCTAAATAGAAAAGATTTTTTAAGATATCTAAATCTTATCTATTTGCAATCTAATTAACTTTTAAAGTTACTTTAAATTATTATAAATTTCATACTTTATTAAATAAATTATTCTGAAACTGATAATTATTCTTAAAGTTAATCTCTATATTAACATAATTCTCGACATTCCGCTTTAATCTAATTTTATTTGAACTCATATTCTTCCAATTAATATGAAAAATTTTGTTCTTGATCTTTAAGTTAAAATTTTAATGTTTCCGTTTATTAAAAATTTTGGTCTAAAATATTATTTTTTTCATCATTTTGTTATTCAAGCTTTCTTATTTTATTATTTAGGAATTCTATTTCTTACTCTTTGAGTGCTAAATTTAATTCTTACTTTTATTCATCTTTTTATTGACTTATATAAAATGTTTATCTTAAACTATCTAATTCTTTAATTAATTCTTCCTTTTCACATTCTTCTGTTTTTAAATTGATGTGAATTTTATTTAATCGCTTTTCTAGCTAGTGCATATCTTATTAATATTTTTCATTTTATTATTAAAGTTATTATAGTTATGATTTCAAATGATTATTATCAGATTCTAATTTTTGAATTTATGCATTTTTAAATATGATTGTATCATCATCTTTAGTAGTACTTGCTTAAGAATCTAATTGATCTATTAAATATTATTTATCGACTTTTAATTCCATTAATTCTTTAGCATAAAAGTTGATTTAATGATTTAAATTATCAACTAATTGTTATAAATTTTCAATCTAAGTTATATTTTAATTTTAAATATAAAGCTCTTGATAAAGTTATGAAAGTAATGCAAATAAATCAATTTTTTATTCTCTTGACATATTCAAAACCTAATCTAAAACTTATTGAAATCCTTCAATTTATAATTTATTTTCAATAGAATTGCGTAAGATCTAAATAAATTGATTTTATCCTTCAATTATTGATTTTTATTCATCGAGTTGTTTGATGTATTCTAATTATTGACCAAATAATTTATTCTCATGAAAACTGCTATTAAAATCAGAATTTTTATGACAAGATTTTACACTTGATCTGTATTAAATAGGAAAGTTATTAGTTTTATCATTTAAGATAGAAGGTTTGAAAGTCTAATAATTCATAGCAGAAATTGAATTTATTATAATAATTCAAAAATAAAGAAATTATATAAGACTTTTTGATTATTTATTTAAAATATAGATTAAATGCTAGAAATGAAAGAAAATGTTTTTTGTATTAATTGCTTCTCTGAGTTTGAAAGTTATATTATTTGTTTTTTTTTTCTTCTGATATAAAGATTACTTTTATAATTTTTGAAATAAATAGATAGAGCAAATATTTTTGTGTAAGAAAGTTTATGCAAGAATTAGTTTAAAATAGAGAATGTGAAAATAATATTTAAATATTAAATAATTTTAATTTTAATGACTGAAACAATTAAAAATCTTAGTGATTTCAAATATTAATAACTTATTTCAGATGTTAATAAAAAGAATTTTTAGTTGAATATATGGTTTGGTGGAAGAGCAGAATCATTAAGATCAAAAACAAAATTAAATTACAATTGTAAAGAAATTATAGGTTTATTGGAATAGAATGGAAGATTTAGAATGTTGAACTTATAATGGTTCATGTACTAATCAAGCAGTGACAATATTTTCAAAAATTTTACAGTGAAAATGGTTTAGTTCCTTTAAAAAGAGACCCACATATTTTAGATTATTCGAAACATAAATAGCTGATAAAAAGATAAGTAGATTTAATTTTAAGTATAGAGTAGAAATATGAATGAGATGGATATCAAATTAAACAATAAGCTAAAGATTAAAAACCAAGGTTCGGTATAGAAAAGAATATTTTTTATAAAAAAGAACAGGTAGCTCTTTGTAATTATTCTACTTAAATTACTAGATCATAAGGAGGATATAGATATATTTTGATAAATTCATGACTATTTTAACTGATAACCGTTAACTAAGAAATGATTAAATTATATAGATAGGTAAATATAATTAATTTAAATGGGGGGATCGAACTAGGATGTTCTATTAGAGTTCTTATTGTTACTAAAGAGTAAGAATTGATTTAGATATGTTGAAGATATAAGACCAACTGAGAAAATTGATCCTTATTTAGTATTAGCTAGTATCATAATGATTTTAGATTGTGTTTAAATTTGATAAAATTTACAATAAATATCTTAAATTGTATATCTTCAATTTTATCCTCTTAGATTTTAGTGTTTTAATAAAATTGTTTAATCTATCTGGAGTTGAATAAAGGATACTTCTCTCTCAAGACATCTTTAAGAAGAAGTATATCGATGGCTCTACCCATTAAAGTTCTAATTTTAGAATATTGTCAGTCCATAACCTTATGGTATGTAGATCGATTTTATTTTGTGTTTAAATTTCCTATCGAAAATACTGATTAACATAATACTCAATATCCTTTAGACTATCGCAAACTTCTAAAGCAAAACCTTAATACTCACATTATGAGTAAATTATTATGCATTTATCTTGAATGACTTCACTAGAGAGCTTTAAGCCATCATCTTCAAAAGGATTATTTATTGTTCTGGTTACTTAATTTTCATTAACATTCTTCTCTTCTGAAGTTACAATTTGTTATAATTAATCCTCAGGTATTTCTCTTTTTGCTTAAGTTAACTCTTGAGTGATTTCTTATACATTACTTTGTTCTTCTTATTCTATCTTTTTATTTTCTTATGTTTTAGTTGTTTAATTTTCTTATTTATCATTTAAAACTTTTTATTATGTTACTTCAACATTATATTGTTATTCATCCTCATTATTAAATTTAATGTCTTCTTCAATTTAAGATGTTTATGTTGCTAATGATTTTCCTTCTTCTTCTTGAGGATCCTAAATAATGATGTCTTCATCTGATTCTGGAATCATATCTTACATAATTCTACCAAAATTTTATGTAATTTAAATTTAATCATCTGTGTTAATTTCTTAAATATTTATTTGCTCTTATTATTTTACTTAATTTTCTTATAATGAATTTAAGGAATCTGAAAGTGCATGAACTTCATTATTTGATTAATTTATTATTTATTCTTCAAGAGGCATATTTTATTAGTTTTCTCTCGGTTATTATTTTACTTAGTTTTCTTGTAATGAATTCAATGAATNGTATCATAATGATTTTAGATTGTGTTTAAATTTGATAAAATTTACAATAAATATCTTAAATTGTATATCTTCAATTTTATCCTCTTAGATTTTAGTGTTTTAATAAAATTGTTTAATCTATCTGGAGTTGAATAAAGGATACTTCTCTCTCAAGACATCTTTAAGAAGAAGTATATCGATGGCTCTACCCATTAAAGTTCTAATTTTAGAATATTGTCAGTCCATAACCTTATGGTATGTAGATCGATTTTATTTTGTGTTTAAATTTCCTATCGAAAATACTGATTAACATAATACTCAATATCCTTTAGACTATCGCAAACTTCTAAAGCAAAACCTTAATACTCACATTATGAGTAAATTATTATGCATTTATCTTGAATGACTTCACTAGAGAGCTTTAAGCCATCATCTTCAAAAGGATTATTTATTGTTCTGGTTACTTAATTTTCATTAACATTCTTCTCTTCTGAAGTTACAATTTGTTATAATTAATCCTCAGGTATTTCTCTTTTTGCTTAAGTTAACTCTTGAGTGATTTCTTATACATTACTTTGTTCTTCTTATTCTATCTTTTTATTTTCTTATGTTTTAGTTGTTTAATTTTCTTATTTATCATTTAAAACTTTTTATTATGTTACTTCAACATTATATTGTTATTCATCCTCATTATTAAATTTAATGTCTTCTTCAATTTAAGATGTTTATGTTGCTAATGATTTTCCTTCTTCTTCTTGAGGATCCTAAATAATGATGTCTTCATCTGATTCTGGAATCATATCTTACATAATTCTACCAAAATTTTATGTAATTTAAATTTAATCATCTGTGTTAATTTCTTAAATATTTATTTGCTCTTATTATTTTACTTAATTTTCTTATAATGAATTTAAGGAATCTGAAAGTGCATGAACTTCATTATTTGATTAATTTATTATTTATTCTTCAAGAGGCATATTTTATTAGTTTTCTCTCGGTTATTATTTTACTTAGTTTTCTTGTAATGAATTCAATGAATCTGGAAGCGCATGAATTTCATTACCTGATTAAATTATGATTTATTCCTAAATAGGCATATCTTAAATGATTTTATTCTGTGTGGGATTTGTATTAACATTTGTTTATTTTTATTCAGATTGTCTTAAATTCAATTGATTCTCTTAATTTTATTGTTGCTGTTATAAATCAGATATTTATTATTCATTTGATGTATTGCTAATATTAATCTACTAATTAGGATCTTGTTATAAGTCGATAACTTAATTTTAAGTCACAACAACAGGTTAAAGCTACATCTCTTCTTTCTGAGGAGATAAAAAATCTTATTCTTAAACATCTTTTTCCTAAGAAACCTTAAATCCAGGAACTTCTTATTTTTATTTAATATTATCTATATTTTAATGGTTATGGTCTTCCTGCAAATTTTATTGTCTATCTAATTCTTATTCTTATTAAAGATATTAATCTATTGATGTTTCTATTTTAGGTTGTTAATTTACAACAGGTTAAATCTCAAATGAAGACCCTATCAAATTATTTGATTGTTAATTTGATTCCACTGGTTGCAATATGTTTTCTATTGTCAAATCATTTGACTCAGAGTATTAGCCTTCCTCTGTTGAGATTTAATTTGGATCATCTTAAGTTTTTAAATCATTGCTTGAATCTATTGATAATTCATTGCTATCATAATAGGTTATTTCATCTTCTATTGGAGCCATAATTTCCTCAGATAATAAATTACCTTCTAAATCATAATGAGTAACCAGAGTTCCATGTTAAGTGTTTGCTATAACAAATAGTAATGTCAAGAAGACAATTAATTTTTTCATATATATATTTTAAAACGGATTTAATTATTTCAATTTTTGTATAGTGAAAGGAAGTAGTCTGCTGAGTCAAACACCTTCTTTTATTTCTTTGTCAAAGGGCTCTTAAATTATAAATTTGCTGCAGCATATTTGGTCAACAACAACTCTTCCTATTTCTACTCTATTGTTAATTCCTTTTTCTGTTATTGCTACATAAAATAATCAGCACTGTCAAAGACTTTCTAATTAACAGATATAAATCTTCATACTTTCTTCTTATAATTACTTTGTTGCTTCTCTGCTAAAGTTGTAACCTAAGGACTTTTCTCTTCCATATCAAGAGATTACTGAGTGATCAAAGCAATCATTTGTTCCTCCAGCTACTGTTATTCTAATTATAATATATCATTTAAATAGTCTTCACTTCCAATATAGCAGAATCTCTATTATAAATATAACATTATTACAGGGTTATATGTTTAATTTAAAGCCAATTAAGGTCCTAGGCTTTCTAATCTAAATCTAGATGGTTTAAATTGAGGATTAATCACACTCATTATTAAATTAAATTTATATTGATATCATTTCTAAAGAAATTATCCTGTATTAATAATTACAATAATATCATCATTTTACCTTCCATAACTTAAAATTATCTTATTAATATAGAATAATCAATATCTTTTCAATTTATGAATTTATAAACAAATTAACAAAAAAATTATTTACTTAAGTGATCTATTATTTTTCAAACTATTTCAATATGATCCTCAAGTTTTTCTATTAAATTTTGAAAATTTTTGAAAGTCTCAGTAGATTTTAATTTGTGAGAATAAAAGATCAATTATTCTTTAAAAAAATAATATTTCATTTAAATTATTATCTGATCTCAATCAAAATTGGTAAAAACATATAATAAATATAAATTATTTACAGAAAATTTAATGAATATTATTTGAAATAATTTTTTTATTCAATTTGCAAATATTTATCACTTATGCTAGGAATTACTAATTCTTTGAAATTAGATAAAGCAATAATTAATTCGTTTATAATAAAATTTAAAATTCAAAAATTTATAAAATGTTTTAACCAAAATCAATGAAATTCACACCTCATAATTCGATTGCATTAAATGAAAATGTTAACTCATTAAACAAATCTAAAGCTAATAAGAATATGTGTTGCATGAATCATCCTTAAAAAACTGCAAAATATTGTATGGCAAAAGATCTCTCAGTGTCATTGTGTTCTAAATGTGCTATAAATATGGCAGGTAAAGGATTTGTTGTTGAAGAAATAAATGGATTTGAAGAACGATAGCGAAGAGAGGTAATTGATAAGTTTCTGAATTTGGTTAATAGAAACCTCACATAATATGATAAAGCACTTTCAGGTTTATTAACGAAAAAACAGGACATTACAAAATATTTTGAATAATAAGTAGATAAAGTAATTCGATTTCATTAATTGGTTACCTAATAACTTTCAGAAGAGAAAGACAAACTAATCTTACAATTAACTCAAAATTTTAAACAAACTTCTTTAACATATGAAGAAACTATAAAATCGCTTTAAAATTCCAAATAAGAAAGCATTGGGATGAAAAATGATGTACAATAGAATTTAGACCGCATTGTCAAATAAATTGCATAAGAGCCTTTTAATGAAATAATGAATTGTTATCATAAAACAGTGGAAAAATATATATCTGATATAGAGGATCTTTAGCGAAAACCTATCGAAGTAATTAAAATAACTTTAAATGAACCTTATAAAATAAATGAATTTGTTACTGTAGGTTTATAAAAAACATCTTTAATAAAAAAGAATCTATCAGATATAGGAATAAGAACCATAACAAATGAAGATGTCTATGAAAGTATTGCTAAAAGAGATTCTATTAATAATTAAAAAACCTCAAAAACATTATCTTCATTACCTCGAACTCCAAAAACTGAAAGTTCTCCATTTAAATCAGTTCCTATTACAAATATTGATCTTTATCATACTCCAGAATAGCAATAATTAAAAAGTTTAAAAACTTAAACGAGTCTTTAATAAGCAAAAATGTAATTAGCTTAGGTTTAAGAGAATATTGAATAAAATTATGAAGAAGGTCATTCGCAAATGATAGAAAGAGACGATGTTGAAAATTCATATCAAATGATGATTGCAGAGTCAGTTTCAGATAGCGAAGACTTTATAGATTAATTAAACTTAATATAATCGCTTACAGTAGGCTAAAATGGAAATCTAAATACTCTTAAAATGTATAGTTCACCTCAATTCAAGAATCGATGATTATACAAAAATGTTATATTAAAATCTATTTTTAATCATTGTATTTATCTAAAAGAACTCTTTTAATTTTGTATTTTTTATTATAGTGTATTTTTTAAATGAATAAACTAGAGTTTCATTTAATTTGTGAATAAAATGATTTAACATCAATTTATATTTTTATAATTTAAATAAAATAAATGTTGCTAAAAACACGACATAGATCATCACTTTAAACATCTAATGATTCTTTTCTTTCTGAATTAGAAGTTGATAGAATTATTAGCTCTTGCAATGTAACTTTAGCAAAAGTGACATCAGAACATGATGAAATCAAAGTTTAAATTTAGGATTATAAAGCATCGATTGATTATTTATAAAAATCAAATATGTAGCAAGAGAAACAATTAAAAGTATTAAAATCTAATCTAGATGATAAAGAATATGTTTAAAATATTAAGAATGATGTTATTAAAAAATTAAGTGGGATTGAAAATAATATTGCTAATCTTGAAAAATATTTAGAAGAAATTTAAAAAATAACGTAAGAAATAGAATCATCTCCAATAATGTGGAAATGCATAAGATGTGGATTTGCTTAAAAAGAAGGTTAAAATGAAGCTAGTTGTACATACCATCCTGGAAAATTAAAATATTTTTCATGCAGATTATGTGGTCAAGATGAATACTTTACATGTTGTAATAGATGTAGAGATTGTCTTTACGGATGTACTAAAGGTTTACATAAACCTTGAATTATATCAATAAAAATTATAAATATATCTAAACTATGAAATTACAAATACTAATTATCACTACATTATTTTTAATAGTTTAGAATTATTTTAATAATTCTTTGAAAAAATAAAACCTTTGTTGACAGTAAATTAACTTTGGGAGATAGTTTAAAATATCTCAAATATATTTTAATAAAATATGTATTCCTATTAAAATAATTAATATTTTATTTGTTTACTATTTAATTTATAATTTATTGAATAGAATGGACTCTAGTGAAATTATTTCTAATCCAATCTGCCCTAATAAACCAAAAATTCCTTATTAAATAACCAAGACTTTTTGTCCTTAATAAGAAAATTCAAGCTATTTGAATTGGTAAGAATAAGGGAATGATAAACCTAATTCTGAATAAACTTAACTCTATGGAATGTCTGCTTATAATATACTTACAGGATAAAATCAATTTGATGGACATTGCTGTAGCAAAATGGCAGAAATGACTCGAAACAATTAAAAGCAACTTTAAGGATAATTGGCAACTATGTAATAATTGAATATATTAATAACTGAACATTAAAAATTATTAGATCGATCGTATTAATAATTAATAGATGAAAAATAAAAGAAAGATTAATAATTAGCAAGAAGTTTAGACATCAGTTAAGACTTGTTAAATAAAGATAAGATTATCAATTAATGGAAATCTAAATATGAAAAGGAAATCTCTTTAAATTAATAAAGAGACAGTAAAATTGAGTAAGATTCAATTTTCTAATTAGACTATTAAAATAAAAGATTGAAGAAGCAAAAGAAAAACAGTAACAATCAGTAACAATAATTGGATTATAGGATGAAATCAATACTTGGAAAAATAGGTATCTTAATCTAAACAAAACATTTGATGAAACAAAATAAAAGCTAGTTGAACTTTAACATGAATCAGAAATCTTGAAAAACCAATAACCTAATCAAGATGAGTCTTCTTAATCTACAATTACTACAACAACAGTTAAAAGAACAAAAAAATAAGTTGAATGAATAGAAATAGAAAATATATATAATCTATATATCATTATATATTTAATATTAAATATTATGGGTGTAATGGCATCTAATTAAGCCCAAAAACATAAATTAGCAGTGTAAGAAGAGAATTAAGTATAAGAGATAGAAAAAGAAAACATGGAAATAGAATAGGCTGATTAAATTAGTGTTGAAAACGAAAAGTATATCTAAAATTTTAAATATTAGATACCCTTTCTGTATAGTTTGGACTAGTATTCCAGTTTTAACATGGCTTATCCCTTGTATTGGACATACTGGAATTTGTACTTCTTAAGGAACTATTCATGACTTTGGAGGACCCTATTATATTGCAATTGATAATTTTACTTTTGGAAAACCATCAAAATATGTGAAATTAAATAAACAATTTGAAGTTTCAAGATAAAATTGGGATAATGCAGTTTAAAAAGCAGATGATGAATTCGGTTAATAAATGGTATTTTTCTACAATAAAATTAGCATAATCTATTTACAAATAATTGTCACAGTCATGTCGCTAAGGCACTGAATAACATGAAATATAATGGAAAATAATCTTATACTATGTTTCATATATGGTTAATGCTTATATTAAGTGGATAATATGTTAGGTATTCATCTCAATAATTTCAATAGTTTTGGAAAATTTTTTATGACATTTTTACCATCTTTGATACTTTATGGAATCATTTTTATGGTTATTTTTTTTAATAAATGAATATGAATTCGATATCATATATTAATATTTTTCATTTTAAAATAATTAGCATATATTTTATGAATTAATAGGAAATTTTAATTCAGATTCTTGAAGGCTTATAAACAAAGAATACAAATATGATTATTTCAAGTCTTGAATGTGATCAAAATTTGATTGCTGATGTAATTAAAGAATTACCAATTTCAAAATGCGAAGCCTTATTTTCATTTCTATTGAAAAAAATTAATAATCACAAATTATAAATTAATTGTATGAAATGGATTACTTATTTATGTGACACAAGACCATAATTATTTTTGAATAATTCTAAATTTAAAGATTTAGTAACAAAGATCAAAGTTTCAGATTTTGACTAGTATGAACTTATTGGAAAACTTGAAATGATTGTTTAATAATGAATTCTATTTTATTTTTTTTCATTAATATTTTTATCGGATTGCTAATAATGATGATTAGGAAATTTAATATTAAAAATATTTAGAGAAAATTTGAATGACTTCTCCCAATATAAGTGTAAGATAAACAAATAAGCAATAGTTAAGTTTGCAGTATATATATATTTTAAAATACTCTATAAAAAAAGAGCCAACTTATTAAACAATTAATTCAATTATAGTATTAAATAACTAATTAGAATTAATCTAACAAATCAATAGAACTAATCCAAATTATAAAATATTCCTCTAAATTTTCAAGAAAAAAGTCTTATTTAGGATGAATAAACTAACTTAATTAAACTTGATCAACAAATAAATTAAGTAATATTAATTCAAATTAAAGATGATTATTTTTAATAAAACTAATTATACGGAATCAAATATTAAATAAGAATAGATCAATATTGATAATTTAGATTAAAAAAATAGAATTTTATTCAATTCAATGAAAACCTTCAGAATTAGTAAAACTCATAGTAATTGTTGTTTTAAAATTAGCTTTATTATTAACAAAAATTATATAGCGACAAAAATACTTTTGATATTTTAATTGATTAATAATAACTAGTTTAATAAAGAGTTACAAGTTTCCATAAAAATGGACATTTTGACCAAAAAATAGAAGGCATTAAGAAGATTTAGCATTTATTAATCTATAAAATTAAGAAAGTCCCCTTTGAGCTGAATTCAAACTGACTTTTCTTTTTTTGATCGTCGTTTTCGAATGTTCTTTATCTATTGAAGGGCATTTAGATTATTATTTATGAATTTAACTGTTTAATATATCACAGATTATATGAAATATGGAATTATTCTAAAATATTTTATATTTTATGAATGATATTTTTTCTTATTTAATAGAAATCTAAAATATAATAAAAAAAGTATTTTTATGAGTAAATATAAATTAATTTATTAGAAAGAAAAAATATATGTATCAAACTTAGGTCAATTAAAAATCATTTAAAGAATAGTTTAGTTTAGAGGAAAGGTAGAAAAGATGTTAATAAAAATTATCTTAACACCCTGAAATGATTCCTGTGATTTTGGAGAAGCATCCTAGATCAAAAATGCCTTAATTAAATAAATAATTGTATATAAATATGGTTTATCATTTTGATATTTAGTTACAAAAGGATTTCGTATTATTTAATTCAGAGGTACCTTGAAAAACACTTTGTAAATTTCACAAAAATAATCAATATTTTTTCATATTGGCAATTAACTTCTTCCTGAAGGTATAATAAGAAAAAATATTAAAAGATGTGAAATTGGCAGATATTTATGAAGATAACAAAGATCCAGGTGATGGGTTTTTATACATCACTTATTCTGATTTAGAAGTTTTTGGATGATAATTTTATTTATTTAATATAATTCCTCCATATGCATTTACAAATTATTTTATTGATTTTGATGAAAAATACATGATTTTCAAATTCGTCTCTTTATTGTAGCAAAATTAAAGTTAAAAATAAAATTACTAAAAGTATTTTTAATAATTAATTACCATGCAATGTATGTAACTATTAATACTTTAAAATTTTATTATAACTATAAGCTAGATTTCATGTAAAACTTTGATCATGTAAATTAAATGTTAGAAATTAACTCAGATTTGGTTTAAATATTTGATAATTAGAAGAGTACATGATATAGTATTTCCTTGAAAAAATATAATTGTTAATAAGCAGACCTGAATATATATTGTTAATAAAAATATACTTGCTCTGACTAAATAGTTCAAAAGTTCAAGGTAGAATGAGATTTAGTGTTTACAAAAAAGTATAGGTAAATGAAATAAAGATTTAAGAAGAATTATAGAAGAATGAATTAAATCAAAATTAAAATATGAAGGAATATGATAAAGTACAACAGAATCTAGAGAAATAAATTATAGAATCTCTGAATAATTAGGATGAACTCTTATAGAAGAGAAAGATGTATAGAAAATTAAGAACTTAAGTAATGATAAAAATCAACAGAGAATATTATTTAACAATAGAAATAAAATGAATATAATATAGAGGAATAAATATTAGCTTTGTATAATGAAGGAATCTTAATTAATGATAAAATAGATTTAAATTAAATGAAGATGAGTAAGAAAAGTGATTATAGAATATATGTAGTCAAATATTTAAATATATTTAGTCAAATATTTAAATATATTTTCTTTAGATTATAGAATGATGATGAAAAAACGAAAAATGATTACATAAATTATATATTTAATAAAATGAAGATAATATGACATAAAAAATAAAAATCAGAGAATGATTTATTCTTTGGTTTTCTTTTAATAAAAACTATCATTGCATCGATATTTGATATTAAAATAATCTCGATGATCTCTAATGGAATGACTCCACATTGAATTGGAACACTTATCATCTTCAAATTATGCATGTTCACATTCTTAATATTCTTTAAAATCTTGATTAAACCAGTATTCTGGTACAGCATGTATATAATCTAAAGATTAAGGTGGTAAATGAGGAACTAAATCAGAAAAGTGAGTAACTCTTGCTTTATCTTTCGTTGTAATTTTTTTAGCGAAGTATNTTAATACTTTAAAATTTTATTATAACTATAAGCTAGATTTCATGTAAAACTTTGATCATGTAAATTAAATGTTAGAAATTAACTCAGATTTGGTTTAAATATTTGATAATTAGAAGAGTACATGATATAGTATTTCCTTGAAAAAATATAATTGTTAATAAGCAGACCTGAATATATATTGTTAATAAAAATATACTTGCTCTGACTAAATAGTTCAAAAGTTCAAGGTAGAATGAGATTTAGTGTTTACAAAAAAGTATAGGTAAATGAAATAAAGATTTAAGAAGAATTATAGAAGAATGAATTAAATCAAAATTAAAATATGAAGGAATATGATAAAGTACAACAGAATCTAGAGAAATAAATTATAGAATCTCTGAATAATTAGGATGAACTCTTATAGAAGAGAAAGATGTATAGAAAATTAAGAACTTAAGTAATGATAAAAATCAACAGAGAATATTATTTAACAATAGAAATAAAATGAATATAATATAGAGGAATAAATATTAGCTTTGTATAATGAAGGAATCTTAATTAATGATAAAATAGATTTAAATTAAATGAAGATGAGTAAGAAAAGTGATTATAGAATATATGTAGTCAAATATTTAAATATATTTAGTCAAATATTTAAATATATTTTCTTTAGATTATAGAATGATGATGAAAAAACGAAAAATGATTACATAAATTATATATTTAATAAAATGAAGATAATATGACATAAAAAATAAAAATCAGAGAATGATTTATTCTTTGGTTTTCTTTTAATAAAAACTATCATTGCATCGATATTTGATATTAAAATAATCTCGATGATCTCTAATGGAATGACTCCACATTGAATTGGAACACTTATCATCTTCAAATTATGCATGTTCACATTCTTAATATTCTTTAAAATCTTGATTAAACCAGTATTCTGGTACAGCATGTATATAATCTAAAGATTAAGGTGGTAAATGAGGAACTAAATCAGAAAAGTGAGTAACTCTTGCTTTATCTTTCGTTGTAATTTTTTTAGCGAAGTATTCCGCAAATGCTTTATTTCCTACTCTAGGTGATCTTTAAATTTTGAATATGATATAAATACCCAAAAATATAGAATGTATGAATATAGAGTCCTATATTTGTAAGATCAATAGCTGCTAAAGTAGCCAAAGCAGCTCCTAAAGAATGACCCGTTATTGTTAATTATGCTTTTGGATTAAGTATTGATAACTCATTTACTTATTTTATTAAATCTTCTTTTATATCTAAATAACTCTCCATAAACCCTGAATGTACTTTACAATCTAAACAAGGATATTCTTATTTCATGAATTTTAAATCATTAATGAAATTCAGCAGATTTTATGTACCTTTAGTTATTTATCTATAAATACTTCTAAATGTAACTATAATCCTATTTTCTGCCTAATTAATTCCAACATAAGACAGAACACCATTTTTTTAACTTTCTATTACTCTAATGGAATCCATATCTGGATGTTAATCACAAAAATATCCACAATTCCATTCCTTTATTTATTAAGTCTCACAAACAGCTATTTTAGTGTACAAATATAAATCATGTGCTAATTTTCTAGAGAAATATGCATTTACTACAGAGAATAAATATATTATAAACATATAATATTATCAATATATTAAGGAACATCAAATTGTAATAATATATTTATTATCTTTCCATGTTCCCTCTTTTTTATGATATTGATTATCATGAAAAGTATAGGTCCCTTTTCCATTTGCTCTGTTATTAATAAAAAAACCTTCATATTTATCTCCATTAGAAAATGTTAATCTACCATATCCTTGGAGCATTCCTTTTGTATACATTCCTTCTGCAGTTTTCCAATTACTCAAATCAGAATAACCTAAACAAGGTAAATCTATTCTTGTTTTCCTTTTAACTCCTTCATCTAATTCAAAATTTTATTATTTATTATTATTCAAAATCATTTATGAATTAAAACCTTTACCTATCATTTTATGAATTTCTCCTGTTGGATTTGTAGTAGTATTAATTGAAAAGTGCATATCTTCAAAATCAAGTCTTTCATCAAAATTAAATGCTTATATCTCTTCAGGAACTGCTTGCTCATTATTTTGTTCTGTTACCAATTATGTTATTTATAATAGAGATTCTTCAAATATCATTTAATTAATATTATAGAACTATCTTTTATATTTTATTTCAGGTGCAAAATGAGCAAATTATAGTTCCAACTAAATAAAATCTGGCCTATCTTCCTCCTTTTCTTCAAGCATATTTAATAAGAACATTTTTGCATAATTTTATAGTTTAAGACCTTCAATATTTGCTCTAATTTTATCTAATTTAACTTTATAATTAGTAAGATCATAAAAATCTTCATCTTATGTTAAACATTTATAAATAAATAAACCTAAACAAAATACATCAGTCTTATAGAAATTATGAATAGGATATTCTTATTTCTTACTCAAGCCTTCTATTTAAATGGGAGATAAATAAAATTTGCTTAATAATTATTCTAATTATCTAGTATTTTTTTGTAACCAACACTTTCTATAGAACTTGATTAGATATGGGTGGAGCATAGGATCTAGTATTTTATAATAATATAACCCATCAAATGATCTTACCTACAAATTCAATATTTTGAATTACCTTATAAACAGAATCACGTCCAAAATATGAATATGTTTTGCTTTATTTTTACCATTTTGACATTATCTGTAAAACAGCATCTAAAAGTGGTAAATAACTTTCTTCATCTAGTTCTGTGACTATTGATTCTGGAAAATCCAAATAAATAACAGCTCGACTTGTTTCGTCAGTAATTATTTTATGAATTAAAAAGAGATGAGGATGTTATTCTCTTGATCTCCATTTCTATAAAAATGCATCTGTTTCATGAGGTAAACCATTAAACTCTACTTTGGCTAGACGATACCAATCATTGTGAACACTTTTACTTCATTTTATATACATTTTAACATGCGAAAAAGCTGGATATAACTGAATTGCTTTATTAGAATCTGGATGATCTTAAAACAATTTCTCATATTCATCTTTAAATTGTTTAGTCAAACATATTCCCATTATTTATATTAATACTTATTAAATATTATATACTAGTTATATTCACATTAAAACAATATCAATGGTCTAATTATGTCTCTAAACACTTTCTCGTAATATCTTCATCAATCTATTAATTCTTATAAGTTCTAGTAAGAATTATTGTTTTACATAGAAGTCTATATGAGATTATTAATTTAATTTAAATTAATGGGGAATGCTATATCAAATGGGAAGTTGATATCTCCAATATCTATCGATGCTTAGATAAAAGAGTCACAATTGATTCTCAGATTTATGTTAGATCAAAAGAAATTATTGGCACAAAAAAATACCATACCAAAAGATTTTGATCAATAGCTATCATAATTAATTAAAGAATTAAAAGTAGAGCCAAAGCTACTTCAGCAATTCTAAAACACTCCTTAAAGTAATAAGAAATAATTTAGTTAGACTTTAAATGTTTAATACTAAATGAATATTAAAATATCATAGGAAAGAATTTATTATTAAATATACCAAGTGATGAAGTTAGCTATTTCAGTTAAAAATTAGCTAAGCCTACACTCTAAGATTTAGAATAACTTAGAAGATATCTAAAAAATTTGTAGATTTAAGAATAATAAGATTAATTAGAGTAGTTTAATACTGTAATAAATTTGCTTCTAGAAAATTTATTTAGATATTATTAATAAACTCAATAGACAATTGAAAAAAAGAAGGCTCCTTGTTATTTATATTAAATTGAGATTTTAAACATTATAGAAATCTTAGTAAAGATAGAAAAAAACTAATAATAAATGTTGTAAATTCCAGATTCCATGGATATAATTTTAAAAAACTTACATCCAGTTCATGTTGAATTAACAACAACAGCATTAGAAATTGCATCTCATCTGTGTTGGCATACAGATGAAGGATATAATTGGGTATTGAAAAGTTTAAATAAATTATATGAGGAAAACGAAATTATATTTTTTGTAAATACTTTAAAAAAAAGTAGAAATGCTGTAATGATTGAAACAATATGCGCATTTATAGTAATTCTTACTGAATCTCCAACATAGGAAGAAGAGAGGAAAAGAATGCGTCAATAATTCATAACTTCAGGAATGACAGATATATATAAAATGATCATTAATAAAATAGAAGAATTTGAATTCAAAGCAGATGAGTTAAGATTTGAGGTTGTCTTATAATAAATAATTGAGCATAATAAATAAAAACATTAATTGTAAGCAGACCCAAATTATATTGAAGAAATTAAATTACCAATGCTATATTAGAGAGAATCTAGAAAATGTTATGATGTTTAAGAATTTACTAATACCATTAAAAATATTGAAGGCTAAATAGATGCATTTTTAGAAAATAATAAAGATCTTTCTAATAATAAAGAACTCCCTGTTTAATAATAATAGGAACCAAAAAAATAGGAAGTGAAATAACATGCAAAACATTTAAAATCTACTTTCCTTACTCCTTAGTATTTAAATATAATTTAAGATGAGATGGGAAAAGCTAATTTAACAAATTTGTAAAGAGCAGTTGAAAATATTAAACATGAATCTAAAATTAGAGGAAGTTAAATTGTTACTGATTTTGCAGATGGAATTTCAAAATACATTGATAAACTCCATTAACCTACATAAAAAGAAAATGATGGTTAAGAAAATTCATAACTTGAGACAATGAAATCATAAATTGAAGATTTACATGAAAAAATTGTTAGTTTAGAAAATGAAATTAAAGATTTAAATACCAAAAAATAGTCAAATGAGGCATTTGTTGATGTTTTATAAAGAAAAATAGGTGATTTAGAAAAAAAATTAAAATCAGATTAATCTAATTATTCTTAATTAAATGAATAGTTAGCTTCAAAAAATAAAGATTATAGAGCTCTTTAGTAAGAAAATGAATCTTAATAGAAGTCAATTTAGTAATTAGAAAATGAAGTTAATTAATTAAAGGAAAAATTATCTATTATGTAATTGGCTAAAGCTTAAAAGATGGAATTAGAGATCCCTCCTTAAAGGCATTCTCACAAACCAGATACTAATAATGAAGAAATCAAATAATAATTAGAACAACTTAAATAAGATTTTCATTAGTAAAATTAAAAATTAAATAATTAAGAAAATGAAATAAAAAGTAAGTATATAATAATTATAAATAGAATTTTAATAGTAATTAAAAGAATAGAGTGAAAATTTATAAACAAAAGAGATTTAATTAACAGAGAAAAATAAGGAATGTAGAGAATTATAAGCAACAAATGAAAAATTGATAAAAAAAAAATATGCTAAAAAATTATAATTGCAATAATTGAGGGAGAAAATATAATCTGTAAATTATGTAAAATCTTAAGCAACAAAAATATAAAGTGAGCTTAAAACAATAGATTAATATTAAGAAGAACTTGGAAGATTAAATATTATAATAGAGGAGTAAGCAATAGTTTTAGAATAATAAAAAATTGATAAATAAAAAATTAATGAAATGAATGAAAGAATAAAAGAGTATGAATAAAAAGTGCATTAGATTGAAGATGAAAATAAAAGTATAATAAAATAAATAATATAATAGAATAGCAAGTAAATACATAAACTTTGCTTGATAAAATATAATAACTATAAAAGGAGAAAGAAATATTAGAATAGTAATTGCTAAAACAACAATAAAGCATATAAATTAATGCATAATCTAATAATACATTTATACCACCCCCATAATCTGGATAAAATTAAACAAATGCATTTATACCCCCTCCACCACCACCTCCTCCTGGCAGTTAAAAAACATTACCTCCTCCACCACCACCTCCACCTCCTCCTCCTGGTGGTTAAAAAACATTACCTCCTCCTCCACCACCACCACCACCTCCTCCTTCTGGTGGTAAAGGTGCTCCTCCACCTCCACCTCCTCCTCCTCCACCACCTCCAGGTTCAAAAACAGGACCTCCTCCACCACCACCTCCACCTCCTCCTGGTGGCAAAAGTGCTCCACCACCTCCTCCTCCTCCTGGAGGATCTAGACCACCAGGACCTCCTCCTCCTCCAGGCCCAAGACCGCCAGGAGGTCCAGATCCTTAATTTGGTATTGCTACTGGAAAATAAAAACATAAACCTAATGTTTAACTTAAACAAGTTCCATGGATCATTATCAAACCAGAATAAATTAAAAATACTATTTGGGAATCAATTGATGATACTAAATTAAAATTAGATTTCTCTATTATTGAAAATCTTTTTGCTGTTAAACCAACTTCAAGCAATTAAAATACTTAAAGTGCTAGTGGAATTTAACCTTAAAAACCAGCTAAAATTTCTATGTTAGGACCTGAAAGAGTTAAAAATTTAGAAATCGTATTAGGTAAACTTAAAATGTCAAATTAATTAATTGTAGATAATCTTTATCTGTAAATTTATTCAATCTTATTCTTAGACTTGATGAAACAGTATTAAAACCAAATATAGTTGAATCTCTTATTACGGCTATGCCAAATGAAACTGAAATTGGCTTATGGCAAGATTCTGATTAATCTAATTTAGCTTTACCTGATATTTTTTGTATTAATATTAGTTCTGTAAAAGGCTATGATTTTAGGTTATTTATTTAATATAATTTAGATTGTTATCATTAAAATTTAAATTTAATTACAAAGAATTAGCAGAAGATTTATAATCTAAAATTAACAGTTTTTAAAAATTGATATAAAAGACAAAAACTGACAAGAATACAAAAATTATTATGGAATATGCTTTAGCTGCAGGAAATTATATGAATGGTTAATCTGCTAGGGGAGGTGCATATGGTTTTAAATTTGATATGATGGAAAAATTAGCTGATGTTAAAACTACAGATAATAAAAGCAGTTTATTAATGTTTATTATATAAAGAGCTGAGGAAGATTTAAAATAAGAATTAGTTTTGATTGATGAATCCTTAGATGATATTGAATTAGCTGGTAACTAATTTATACTATAAAATATAGCTAAAACACCTTTAACTCAATTAGGAGCTGATTTAAATGAACTTAAAAAAAATTCTAAAATTATAGATAAGGCTATAAAATCAAAAGTTCCACCTCCAACTTAAGATTTAGTCGAAGAAAAACTATAGGATTTTTATTAATAAGTTATTTCATAATTAGCTGAATATGAAATATAATTAAAATCACTTGAAACATAATATGATGAACTTTCAAATTATTTTGCTGAAACAAAAGTTCCTTTTGATAAGTTTTTTGAAAAGTTTTATAAATATAAAAATGTACTGAGGTAAGCTAAACAAAATATTGCTAAAATTAAATTAGCTGAGTAAAAAGAATTAGAAAAGAAAAAAAAATTAGAATAGCAACAGTAAAATTAATAATTATAGCGTTAAAATCAATAACAATAATAGCCATAATAATAATTAGAATAATCATAAGTAAAAAAAAAATTGGAGGGTATAAATTATATTATTTTAAGACAACTCTTTATCTGGATTAAAGAAACTTGATAAAGCCTAAATTTTAAATGAAGTTGCAAAAAGAAGAGAATCAAAAAAAAATAGTATTCTGTAATTAACTAATTTTTTGGTTAAGCAATAAATTTAACCATCTTAAACATTAACTCAAGATAATTGATATAAATAATTTTAAAATTAAAGTTGTTCAACAATGTTTATAAGATGTATTAAACATATATAAAATCACAATTGATATATAATAATATTTTGAATGTTTAAGAAAGTTCAAAATTGCTTCAAATCTCTAAGAATGAGTAATTAGATCATTCTAATTAACTTTTGCATCATAACTTTTACTGTGTTAGTCATCCTTGCTACATATTAAGTTCAATAGGCAATCTTTTTCACTTTTATTAAAAAATTTTCTCAAACTTTATCATAGAAACAAGAAAATCATTTAGTTTAAGTTATTTCTGAACATATTAGATAATATATCTAGCATAAAAATTAACAAAGTATTTGAATAATATAGATAGCATTATCCAACTTACAACATTCTAATGATTTCTTTTAATATATTACTGAGTCGAAAAATAAATTTAGAATAGTTAAAAGCCAGTTTTAAGAATGCATAGAGTAGAATGAGGTGAATAGTCATAAAGTGATTTATAATTCAGATATCATATGTTAAGGATTTCAGATTGTAAATTCTGAAAATAAAGGATAATATTTTAATGATACTCTAACTTTACTTAGTCCATTTACATAATTATTTATTGCTAATGAAGACTCTAAAATATCATATTTTGATATTCCTGAAACTTAATTTTTTGGAGCTTTTCCTTATTCTTTTAAATTTAAGAATTATAATTTATAGACTCGACCTTGGTAAAAATAAAAATAATTTAAAGGTTTGTAAATCATATGAGTTAATCCAAAATTTACCCAAATTCTAGTTATTTTTATTCACCAATATTATTATCTGCTCGTAATAACTTACCTTATTCTGCATTGACATATTCACTGGTAAGAAATAACTCAATTTTTGGAATTGCAGTATAAATACTACCTATATCAGATAAAAATATATAAAACATACCCTTAAATATTTTATTAGTACATTAAAATGGGGATGTAATTTTAAGCACAATGGATTCATTTGATTAAATAACTGGCTTAGTTAAAATTAGTAATACTTCCTACACTGGTTTTAACGAAACTGATTGGGAAACTATTTAATACAATACAAACAATAAATAAAATCATGATAGTACATTTTATTTAATGAATAAAATTTATCAAAGATCTGTATTTGTATATACATATTAATTCTTAAAGGAAAATTTAACAATGATAGTGTAATTAATTGATATAATTTTTTAAGTTTTAAGAATGTTACATATGAATAGGAAATCTCGGATGAAATTGATCTCTTGATAGATAATTTAGAAACAGAGTTGATTCAATAAATATAAATCTAAATTGGATGCTGTATTTTTCTATTACTTATTACTGCTAATTTAATTAAGTGTATTTCAGCACCCTTATTAGAATTAATTTAACTTATTAATGAGCATGTCATTAAAATGGGTAATAATTTAAACTCAGAAATATTTAAAATGGCTCTTAAGACTAAAACAAAAAATAATGCTGATTTGTTTTCTAATTTGGCATGTTAATTTATGGGATTAAAAGATTTATAATCCAAAAGTTCTTAAAGAAAAAGCAATCTTTGTTAATAAATGGAGTCAATTTAATATAATTATAAGTTTTAAGAAACTGATACAACCAAAATTTAGGAATTTTTCCAATAACTTCCTTAAAATGAATAAAAACCTCATAGTTTAGCTTTTTTTCATTTTGATTCTTAAAAATTATTAACTCTCAAATAATTTAATTTAAAATCACATAAACTTTATTAAAATGAAAAACTTACTATAAACGAAGACATAGTTAAAAGTGAATAAGTTGGCAAAAGATTACTTTTAATTAATCATTTGCTCCAAAAAATATATAAATAAAACAAGCCAAATTGATTATTATTTACATAAATTCTTCATTTTTTTTAACTTTAAGATTTATTATATTTTTTATAAAATCTGATTTCAGTTCTATTATTAATATAAAATTAATGTTTTAATCAAATTGAATCTTTTAATCTATTGTCTATTAATAGCAAATCAGCAAAAAATATCGAATAATAACATTTAAATTATTTAATTAAATTCATGAAATCAATCAAAATTAATAATGATGAGTAATTATGCTTATTTAAGAAGAAAAAAAATTAAAAAATTAATTATTTTTGGAATGGTTAATTCCATCAATATTTATTAAGAGCATAGTTTAAAATTTGTATTATTAATATTTTAAAGATATATTGAAAAATAAACGCTTCATTAAATATTAAATAGAAAAATTTAATACAAATCTAAGTAAGATAAAACTAATTTGGTTTTTAAAGAAATAAAATTCTCAAGTAGTGATTATAACATGTGAATAGAAATTTTATCTCATATGCAAATAATTATACATTATTTATAGAATTACCATAATAAATTTATATGAACTTATGATGTAAAATTATCATAAGAATTTATATATTAAAAAATGAGGATCCTGAAAATATCAGATAATAAATATTATTTTGAATCTCCTTTAATTTGCAAATACAAAGAGATTCTTAGTAGTGTGCATTACATATAATTTTTAACTTAATGAACTGGAATTTTATATTTTATCGATATAATAATAAGTTAATACAATTATAAAATCAATAAATAAAACAGCAGTTAGACTGTTAACTTAGTTCTGGTTGTTGTTAACTTTTATATTTCACATTTTAACAGTTCAACATTTTATTATAATCTTCTTCAATTTCATCACCTTAATTAGAGAGTTCACATGATAGAATGTCCATGAATGTTCTTGGAGTATTTTATTAACTAATAAAAGCGATTTTATGAGATCCCCCTTTGATAATTTCATTTCCAGCCCAGTCCAATCTTAAAGAGGTTTAATTTATTTTCAACTAAGAAGATTTAAGGATTGATTTTATTGCTAAGTGCGGAGAATCTATTGAATCATAACCATTAATCAATTCGGTTTAAGACATTATCTTATAAAGAAAAATAATGATTTTTTTTATAATTAGGAAATAATTGGTTTTGCAGAAGTAATATTATCTAATCTTATATATATTTTTAAATCTATTATAAATTTATATTAAAATGTTTCTACATTAATTAGTAATTGATTTAACTTATACATAACACACTATTTTTAGGAATGAAATAATTATAGGCTTAATTAAGAAAATTGCAAATATATAACAATTTGTAAACATCTGTAAAATATTTGATACATTATAATCTAAATGTTTTTATTTAACTGAGCTAATACTTTATAAAGTATTCCCAAAGAGAGAAATCATTATGAAAGTCAAAAATAAGATTTCTCATCATTCATTGAATAGTTACAAATGATTATCATAAAAATTTAAACCTTCATCTAAAACAATACATTTACATTTTAAGTTAAGACAAGGTGAAACTAAGCATAATGTTCTTCAATATTCTTTTATGTCGATGGAAGTTAAATAAAAATAATTAAAATAAATAAATTAACAAATAATATAAAAATCAAATAATAATCTGCAGGCACTTAGGAATAATCAAGAAAAAGATTATTTAAAGTGAAATCTTTATGAAAAGTATATAAATATATGCATTAAAATAAACTAAGAATAAATTATTAATTCCATCCACAAGAATATCCGAAAAATGTTCTCATAAAATTAAATTTGAGTTGAATTCTAATTATAGAAGTTGATAATTCTATTAAAATGAATTGAAAAACCTCTAATTTGAATAGCCACAATTTTTTGCTTCAAAGAAGTAGCATTCTATTGGAAAGTTAAAGTAAATTTTTGAAAATTGTTTGAAAAAGTAATATGAAAGTTAAAAAAACTTCTTAAACTTAAGTTTAAAGAGTATAATGGAACTAAAAATTTGGCATCTAATTAATTAATTATTGAAACTATTAATAATGAATTTTTTGAATTTGTGGAAATTTCTGAAAGGTAAAATTTTTCTCCAATTTTTAATTTAAGTTGGTGAAATAAATATATATTTTTTAGTTAATTATTTATTTTTTGAGTACTGTATAATTTATGAATAGAACTTATACTGATATCATAAGTCTTACTAGCATTTTTTTAGATTTATTTTTAATTTAATTTAAGTTATAAAATAAGAAGTTGATATGAGTTGTATAATTTATATTTAATTAATTGATCTGTTAAATAATATGAGAAAAACATTAAGACAATGCTTACATAAATCATCATTTTTAAGTCAAAGATAGACAAATCCAGATCTCACATAAGATAAGAGATTGGGAGTGAGATTTGCTACATAATATTAATTGACTGTTCCAGATATTGCGACAACAGATCCAAATTAATTAGAATTGATTAGAATAAAGGAAAAATATAAATGGAAATGTGAAGAATTGGATAGAACGAAGCAAGTTATTGAAGAAGAACATAAGTAGATAGAAGATAGAGCTAATGTATTTATAAATGTTATAAAGAAATTAAATAAAGGAGAAAAAGAAATGCGTATATTAGCAGCTTAGATTAAAGAGAAATTAAATATTTTAGGAGAATAAGAATAGAATTTCAGAGAGAAAGTATAATAATAGGAAGAGAAAATGAAGGAGAGAGAATAATAATTATTGATTAGTAAAAATTAATTAGAGGAGTAATAAAATGAATTAGATTTGGAAAGAAATAAATTACAGATCAGAGAGAAATGTTTATAGGAGAAGGAGTATGTTATAGATTAAAAATTAAGAGAAGTAGAGTAATATATAGAGAAACTAAAATATTAATTATAAAATGTAAATTAGAAGGAAAGTAAGATTTATTAAGTTATTTATAAGATTATTATCATAAATAAATAGATAAGTTGAATTAAGGGCTATAGACTATAATTTAACATGAATTATCAATAAAAAATATAGAATTCAATTTGAGTAAATAGGTTAATTAATTGAGAGAAGTGGAGAGTAGTTTGATAGATTAATTGTAGAATTGTAAATAATAGGAGGAATTGTTTGATTAAAGAGATTTAAATATATAAGTTAGTGAATAATTAATAAATAGAAAATTGGAGTGGGATAGTAAATAGATGTATTCAGCAAAAATGTCTAAGATAAATTCTGATAATTCAAGAATGGAGATTTCGAATTTTGGTCATTCTGCATTTTCTCAAAAANATATCATAAGTCTTACTAGCATTTTTTTAGATTTATTTTTAATTTAATTTAAGTTATAAAATAAGAAGTTGATATGAGTTGTATAATTTATATTTAATTAATTGATCTGTTAAATAATATGAGAAAAACATTAAGACAATGCTTACATAAATCATCATTTTTAAGTCAAAGATAGACAAATCCAGATCTCACATAAGATAAGAGATTGGGAGTGAGATTTGCTACATAATATTAATTGACTGTTCCAGATATTGCGACAACAGATCCAAATTAATTAGAATTGATTAGAATAAAGGAAAAATATAAATGGAAATGTGAAGAATTGGATAGAACGAAGCAAGTTATTGAAGAAGAACATAAGTAGATAGAAGATAGAGCTAATGTATTTATAAATGTTATAAAGAAATTAAATAAAGGAGAAAAAGAAATGCGTATATTAGCAGCTTAGATTAAAGAGAAATTAAATATTTTAGGAGAATAAGAATAGAATTTCAGAGAGAAAGTATAATAATAGGAAGAGAAAATGAAGGAGAGAGAATAATAATTATTGATTAGTAAAAATTAATTAGAGGAGTAATAAAATGAATTAGATTTGGAAAGAAATAAATTACAGATCAGAGAGAAATGTTTATAGGAGAAGGAGTATGTTATAGATTAAAAATTAAGAGAAGTAGAGTAATATATAGAGAAACTAAAATATTAATTATAAAATGTAAATTAGAAGGAAAGTAAGATTTATTAAGTTATTTATAAGATTATTATCATAAATAAATAGATAAGTTGAATTAAGGGCTATAGACTATAATTTAACATGAATTATCAATAAAAAATATAGAATTCAATTTGAGTAAATAGGTTAATTAATTGAGAGAAGTGGAGAGTAGTTTGATAGATTAATTGTAGAATTGTAAATAATAGGAGGAATTGTTTGATTAAAGAGATTTAAATATATAAGTTAGTGAATAATTAATAAATAGAAAATTGGAGTGGGATAGTAAATAGATGTATTCAGCAAAAATGTCTAAGATAAATTCTGATAATTCAAGAATGGAGATTTCGAATTTTGGTCATTCTGCATTTTCTCAAAAATACTGAAAGTTATAAAAAGGAGTTAATATAAACAAAATTATTAAAGAAGTTCTTTTATAATGATATTAATTGTTAAATGAATGCGTATAGTATGATAATGTGTTAGATTTGAGAAAAGGAAATAAGAGATATAATAAATTTTGATATTAAGTTCAACATATGTCATACTATCTAATTCCAACTTCTGCTTTGCATGATGAACAAGTATGAATTTTGTCTTAACAATCTGGCATAATACATGGAACCCAGCAACATAAAATTCTAATGATAATAAAATTGGATACCCTGTACAAAGAAATAGAAGACATGATACCAGATATGTTCCTGCTCCAATTTCAGTATTAACTTTAGTTATACCTTAAGTTTTACAGACAGGACATATAATTTAAGTAGGGTATGGTGCACCATTAGCATTAAAAGATGGAGGTTAATTGAAATGACTAAATATAAATAATAATACTTTCCAATTACATTCTATATATATGGAGTCCCAACTTAAATAGGCTAAGTATTAGCAATTATTGGCTTATATATTTAGTAATTGAAATACCTATCCATATGTAAATTATTATGGCTATTATTATCCATATTGTTAATATTGCTAAGTGTATGGATTATTTTGTTAAGTAGGAATATATTACTACTAAGGTTATTATTATTAAGGTGCTTAAACCTCGAATGTTTGGGTAGTATTACCCCAATTTTAAGATTGATTCGGATCAGATTATTACATTTTAATTATTCTATAAAATTTAAATTAAATCACTAACAAGTGAGTAATTCTATTGTCATATCATAACCCATGTAATTGGTATGATCAGACACAGATAAATCAGCAATATTCGCATTAGAACAACTATCATCTTCTTTTAAATTATCATTACATAATTAAACTCTTTAATTTTAATAATAAATTAAATACTTCTTATGAATGACTAATAAATAGTCTTTGTAATAAGCTTCTTAGTTTACATGATTGAATCCTTAAATCAAAGCTGGAAGATGTGGAACTGGATCATGATTATGTGTAATTCTAAATTTTGCTCCTGGATACAGTTGTTAATTAACATAAGTAAAAAAGTTCTTATCTCCTACTCTTGGAGATCCAAAAGTATAAAACTTACTTATTGTAAATCCTCTCTAAAAATATCTATATTGATTATTATACTGTTGTTAAATATACTAAAGCATGATAAGCGAGTGCTCCTCCTAAACTATGCCCAGTAATTGTTATCTTTGCTAATGGATACTTCTTTGTTAAACTTTTCAAACAATTCAATATTTAATCTTATATTCCCAAAAAAGAATAATAGAAACCTCTATAATTATTTTATTTTTATACCTATGAACTTAACAATTATTTGGACAATAAGGGTAGTCTGTCTTTAAAAAATCAATGTCTTCTATCCAATTAGTTAAACTCCATGGTAAAGTTCCTCTTAAAACTATGTAAATTTCATCAGTTTCAGGATGATATGCTCCATATCCTGCATTCTCATTTGTTGCATTTATGAAGAATGAAATATCAGTGATGGGTTTCAATTCTTTACAAGGTTTCCCACAAGTCCAACTTCTTATATGTGACTCACTACAATAACTTGCTGATGCTAAATAAAATAAGTGTTTTGCAAATGCTTCGTCATATGTATTATATTCTACTGTCTAATATGACAATACAACAACAAGACTTATTACAAGGATTTACTTCATGACGTAATTTTATAATATAGAAAATAATCCAATCTTTATTTATTAAATATCCTTTTATTTTATAATTATATCGTATTATTTAACAAGATGACGAATATAACTAATTCATTATAATACTCTTAAATCTACTCAATTCTCTAAATCACATCACTCATTAAGTAATCTATCTATATTTCTTCATTATAATTAATTGTTTCTTTAATTATTTATTTTCATTTTTTCTATAGATAGTTCTTCACACTTAAAATATTTATTTATAATACTCAATCATTCAAATTAAGGAAACTTAATTTTTCAAAATAGAAAAAAATATTTCTTAACTATTTCTCTTTTAGAAATGATATAATAGTATTTAAATTAATAATTCTAAGAATTCTCTACTCTATATTTTTTAGAATACTCATATTCTTAACATCAACATTCTTTAACAATTTTAAATTGCATTAAATATTTTAATCAAAATATCAACCCTATTTATATTAAAAAAATACTTAATTCTCATATTTATATTTAGACTTATTTTTATTAAAATCAAATGGTTCTTGAAATAGAGGTCAGAATTGTAATATATAAAGAAATTTTACTTGAAATTCTTCCAAAAAGTTATTAGATCTTTTCTAAATTAGTAGGATTTTAACAGTTTCATGGCTTAAAATTCAAAATGATATCTATTAAAATATTTGATAGAAAATTAAAAATCAAGACTTCAAATCAATATTAAGCTCTTCTTAATTTAATAAAGGCTACTTTATACAGATTATAATTCAAAATGCATATCCTACATTATAATACTTAGAATTGTAATTCTTATTTTATATCATGTATAAAAAAAGTAATTTAATCAAATCCTAAAGTTAATCTACATGCTCAATCAGATCAAAATGATATCACTTCTTTGATAATAATATTTATATGCTTCGAACTATTTAAAATAAAAGTTAGAGATTAATAAAATTGATTAAGTATAAATAATAATTGAAATATTGCTCTTTGAAAATAAATTATTAAAAGAAGAACTGAAAAAATTTAATGTAATTTATTATTAAATATTCTTAGGATTTTTAGAAAATAATAAAAATGATAAATCAATATTTGGTTTTGAAAAAATTTGGAATTTTTGGAAAAGAATAATTTTAAACTAATGGATATTTTATTTTAGTACTATATTAATTAATATAACTAAGGTTGAACAAATTTTTGTAGTTTTTCACAATTTTAAAAAATCAATAATATATTTGATTTGATTTGATTAAATACATGATCAATATGATTTAAAAAAAATAGAATATGTATAAAATCTGGTTGAAATGGACTCCATATATCTATTATTTTTGAGGATAAAAATGTATCTGAAGATGTAAAGTTATTAAATAATAATCATTATAATCAATTGCAAGATGGATAGAATTAAAATAAAAATTGGATATCCATTAACTAATATGATTAATTTATATTGAAAATGAGCATAGATTTAAAAATTATTTGGATTCAGTTATTAGAACACTTGCACATTATTTCGAACTAATAAATGCTTATCATAAAAAACCTAGTAAATAGTACTTTATTATTATTAATTTTATTTTTTTGTCTAATATAATTAAAATAACAAAACCCTTATAATTTTATGATGCAATTCATTATACAAATTTTTGATAAGATTATTATTTTTGATATCCAATCCTAATTTCTAATAAGAATACATCCCTCTCAAGATTTTAATTCTAAAAAAATAATGAAATTTGAATTATATAATTCCTATTTTTAAATAACTATATCTGCTCAATCAATTACTCAATTGAAAATATAATTAATTAATTTAAGTGTGAATGGAATTAATAATCAACTAAATTTCTCTCTTTGTTTAAGGCTCTTTGATTTTAGAATAATTCATTTGGAGTTTACCTTTGATGATATAATTCACTTTGGGAGTCATGAATGAACTACAAAATATAGCATATATTAATATATTGTCTACTAAAAAACTTTTCAGTACAGCATCTGATATGGATTTAATTACGATATTGGCTAGACCCAATACATTCCTAAAAAATTCAACTATTTTATCATATATCCCTTTGGCATATTTATGCATTTTTGTTCTTTGTTGCGTTTGCTTTATTTATATTGTGAAAAGTAGATCATAAAATTTAGTCATTGAATTATAAATTGCCTTCAACACCAACAATTATATAAAGATGCTTTTTACATTTATAAATGTCTCAATTAGTGTAATTAAGTAAGCACTTGGATACATATTATTAGACATCTGCTTTTAGACGATTTAAGAAAACATGAATAATATCATACAAGTCACTCTTAACTTAATTACTATTACAGGAATTTTTATTTTAATTCTTTTCTTTACGAATATGTTTTCGTATAATTGGGCATTAGATTTTCAAAGAGAACATTTAATGATAAATGAATCTAATCTAACTTATTATAGAATATTTATAAAACTTTTATAGCTAACTTTTATGTTGTATGTTTAAGATAATTAAATAGTTCGAATAACTTAATCACTCTTACCAGTGATATCGTCATTGATATAACTATATTAAATGTAAAAACTAAAATAATTAATCTATGGTTACTATTATAAAGTCATACTAGCTATTAATCTGATCATTATAACAGTATGTTTGCAACACTTATTGCATGAATTATTACCATAGCATAAATTTTAAGATATATGGATTTTACTATTTATTTTACCTTTCTTTTATTTTCAAAATTAAATTAAAAAAGATTTATTAGAAAATTTTATAAATTTCTAAAATTCTAGTATTGAAAATTGCAACATTGTTCTATTCTAAATTATATACAACATTACTAGATAAAAGGATTTATTCAATTTATAAATCATTTATCTAATGTTTTTATAAAAGCATTCCAAAACCTGTTATAAACTTGAATGTCCTTGTAAACAAAGACTTTTAACAAAGAATTTTTAATAAATCTCTTATGAAATTTATTTTAAAGAACTTTTATCATAATATGAACAATAAATATCTACATTATCATTTAAATGTACCTAAGACTAAATAATATTTAGTTATTTACAATTATTATTTTTTTAGAAGTAATACCTAATAATTTATTAGTATTTCTAAATAATATTTCAAAAATCTAATAGTGCTAAAATTCAAAATTAAATTTTAATGTCAGAAAATTACAAATTCAAAAAAAAAGTATTTAAAATTAATAATTTACATAAATTGATTGTTCTGAAAGTAGCTTAGGATTTAATGAGATTAGATATTGCTTAATAATTTTCTAATTAAAAAAATAGTGGATTAATTGAATCTTAAAAAACTCATTCAGCTATTAAGGAATTTCTTTTAGCAGAAACTCAATGTCTTGAAATTAAAAAAATCCTAAATTAAGTCTTATAATGCAAAATCAACTACATGGAAAAAGTATATTCAACTATATCCAAATAAAGCCTAGAGAAATTGGCTTATAAATCTATATAAAACTAAATAGATGGACTAAAATAATTAAAGATTTGTTTATAAAAAACATCAGGTATAAAGAATTTGTTATTTTCTAGATTAGAAGTCACAAAATATATTAGCATTTTACCATATGGAAATATTGAATGATATGATTTCTTCCTAGAATCAAAATTCAATATTCAATAGTAATGATGAATTCAATTTCAAATTTAATTTTTCATACTTGACAAATGAATTCTCCAATTTGATAATCTAAATAAACAATAAGTAAAGTATTAAAATTTTGAAATGCAGTTATAACCAAAAAGATAAGTTTGATAAATTAGATATTTTGAACTTTTAAGATATGATACCTAATTATATTTAAATTTCTCATATGAAATTAATCGAAAATTTTATTGCAGGTAATAAAAACAAATTTTATTAATAAATAAATGAATCTTATATTTAGGTATCACCATGTTTGTGCAAGAAGATTGATCTATTAATGGATTTAAGTTAATTAAATTTAACATCTATTGAGATGGTTATATTTTTTTGTAAAAAAAAAGATAATTAATATAGTATTTTTTTAGATGAAACAAAAAAAATTATTAATATAGATGAGGAACTTTTTACTGATATATTAAATATTGATGGAGTTTTTGCTTAATATTTTATTGGTTTGGATATGAATGTTATTTTCGAGAATATCGATTAATTAACATAAGATTAAATTCATAATTAATAGACTTTTTATTTTGTAGATCCAAATAAAATAACTTCATCTTATTTTATTAAATCTTAATAAGTAAAAATCTAGTCTTTATGGAATTATACTTAATCTTTAATATGCTATTAATGTGATTTATAATTTACCAAAAAAAGAAATGAATTTGGATCTAATTATTATGAATTCATAATAAAAAGTCCAAAACGTATATGTAATAATGGAGATACTTATATATCGTAGTTTAAACAATCAGAAAATTTAATTACAATTACACCCTTAGATGAATCTATAATAGTAGATAAACCTTATGCAATAGATTAGAGTTTAAATGATGAAAAGTTATATAGTTAATAGTTTTTATAAAAATCTGAAATAGTATGTTAAAATTTGATGCAATCGGATATTTAATAAGATTAATAATTTGTTACTATGAAAAATAATGAAGAAGAATAAAATTTTAGTGAATAAATAGATTAAAATACTGTGAGAAAAAAAGATAACGATAAAAAATTAAAAACTGAAGGGATATCTTCTTAATAATCTGCAATCTCAGCTATGTAAAAATCAATTTATTATCGATAATTTTCTCTTGTTAATAATCTTTCAACTTCAAAAAAGGTTCCTTAAATTTTCAAAAGAATGATATTTTTTAGAATATTTTTGATTATTTTATCGATAGTTGGATTTAGTTTGGTAAATCTTTTATTAAACTTAGTATTTATATGAAATTGATTTGTTCCATTTTTTTCAGGAGGATTTCAAATTATTAAGTATGAAAAATGATATATTTTATCCTATTTTATCCTTTTAATTGATTCGATTGTCAATAGTTAATTACAATGTAGAACTATTTTATAAATTAATCACCTAATAGTAATTCGTAGAATTATTAATTTATCCTAATTCTAAATTAATTGGAAGTTATGATAAATTAAAGATTGGAATTTCAAATATCATATCTGAACCTATTTTTTTTTCTTTATATCAGGATTAATACTTAAATTTATAATTTTTATCAAAAGGAAATATTGGGGAAAACAATGAACTTGATCTTCGAAATAGTTTGATAACATTATTAAATTATTAATTTGATACTTAAAATGCGTATATTGAGAAAGGATAAGCTGATTATGAAAGCTCTTACTTTTATTACAATTACAAGAATTTGCATACTTTATTAAGTGCTTTTACAGAAGCAAATTAAATTGCTTATGAGGCTTAATAATCAAATTTAGAGAAATTTTAGTAAAAAATATTAGTCCTCTTTTTTATTTTATTTTTTTTTTTAGTATTGATATAATTCATCATAACATTTTCTCATTTACTATTATAAATATAGAAAGAAAAACTCAAACTGTTACTTTTTAATTAAGATTAAAGTTTCTTAAATTTAGAAATCCAAAGATTTACATTACTTTAAGAATTAATTGATTAAAACTATCCTTAAATATAAAATTATAAACTTAATTTTTAAGAAAAAGATGAATATTTTGAAAAAGTTAAATCTCTAAGCAATCAACATTAAAGAAATTAAATGAAAAAGAACACAATTGTTGGTTAATTTTATAATCCGAAAGCAATTTTGCTTACTTTAACTCATTTTGTGATATTGGCATTGGCATTTATCATATTGACAATAAAAATATATGATACATATGGAAAAATCAAATAAACTGGTTAATTATATGAAATGTTTGCTAATTTAAATATAAATATTTTAAGTTTATATTAATCAAGAGAAATTTTATATTATAAAATTGCATTGCCTTTTTTAAATTAAACAGATTTAGATTAATATAATAAAATTGCTTAAAATGGAATAGTAGGATTGGAAGAATTCATAGATCAGTAATGGACATTTTAATCAAATAATTATTTCTTTGATTCAGAATTTTTTAATCTTTTAATTAAGTTCAGTAATGAGAATTTCTGTGAAGAATTACTGGTAATTTTATACAATAGATTTTTGGCAATAGACAAATCTTTTAATATTTGTAATAATACACTTGGAGGAGTTTTGTAGAAAGGAATTTCATCTGCATTGATTGATATAAAGAATCAAATAAAAACTGAATTTGAAGATACAAATTTTACAATAAGAAAAAATTACCCAATTTTAGAATTAGAGGGAATTACAATTTTAAGTTATGGTTTATAATACTTAATGGAAACATTTTATTAAGATTGGTTTTTTTATAATTAGAAAGTGGAAGTGAATTATAATGTAAGATGTTAAATATTATTTAGATTATAACTATAATTTGTTTATGTGTTTCAATACTCAATGGATTACTCTTACTTAAATTTGATTAGATGATATAATTTAGAAATTATAAATTATTGACTAAATTTATTTATTCTGTTCCTCTGGCATCAATTTTATTTGATGACAACTTTTTACGGAACACTAGAAGTTATTTTGTGAATGAAAAATTGATTTGAATTAAAAATTGTTTATTATTTTATTGAAATAATTCGATAAATTATTGATAGAATATTTTTCTTTTTTTTAAAAAATAATAATATAGAATCTAAATATTTAAAAAGAATAGTAGAGATTGATATTCAATATGTTTTTATTATTGGATAACATTCCTTTAGTAAGAATATAAAATTAAAATATGAATTAAGTTTAAAAAAAATATACTTATTATAATAAATAAATTAACTGTTAATGAGTGAAACAAGTTTAATAACATATTCAGATAGAGAAATGGAGTCCTCTTTGAAGGATTTATTAGAAAGGATACTCATGTAAATGGAGAAATACATAGAGACTAAAAATGATTTGAATGAAGTTGAGTAAGAACTGAAAGATTATGAAAATTTAACTCAATTAGTGAATATCATAAAAATTATCTTTACTAATTTGATGTTGAAGATAGAGAAAAAAATTTAGTAAGAATTAGAAATATGAAAGGAAATTAGAAAAAAGTATAGATCCAACTATGTCATAAAAAAGTATAAGAACAGAGGATGAATATGAGAAATTAGAATAATCAGTTATAAAATATGAGAGTGAAATACGGAATCATATTCGGGTATGAAGTTAGTATGATTTGAGCTTAGTTAGAATAGTAATTAAAGTTATATGCAGAATCAATCTAATCAAAATTAGAAGAAAGTGAAGCAACAAGAAATGAATTATTAGAAACAACTAAGGCTTTAATGAATGTATATTGAATTTAGATATTATAAAAGAATTTGAAAAGAGAGAATCAAAAATATTATGAAGAAAATCAATCTTTGAATGCTGAAATAGTATCTTACAAAGAGAAGATTCAATTGTTAGAATTGGAATAATAAAAGAAAACTATAGAACTTGATCATGTAGATTATGAAGTTCAAAGATTAAATAAAAATACTTAATAATTAAAAGGACTTGTTTAAAGGAAACCAAATAGTAAAGAAACTAATAAGACTAATTCTTATTCAGAACATAAATTAAGTAGTCAATTATAGGAGAGTACTGATTATCCAACATAATCGTAAGGATCTTTGAAATAAAATTATTTCAATATTTTATAATATGGGTAGCATCATCAAATACAATCCTTATAATAATCAATTCAATAACAGGATTAAATAAAAGGTTATCATATAAAACATAACTCAATATCTTCGATAAATGATATAATATAACAATAGAATGCAATTAAAAATATCAAGACACATATAGGAAATTACACTGTATCAAAAAAAGATTCCTAAAATTCTAGTATTTTACAGAAAAACATTAATTGTAAAATATAAATAATTTTTTGTAGAAAATATTTAGACTTAGCCAAGAAGTCGAAGTGGAAGTACAAGAAGAAATATCAATTAAAAATAGAAGACATCTATTCATTAATGATGATAGTTATTTAAAACATTTTTGTATTTAATATATAAAGATAAATAATATGATTAAAGCAATAGCTTAGAATTATTTTAAGTAATTATCAGAAAGCATTTGTTATGGATTTGCAACAAAGATGCAAGCAAGTTCAACTTAGAAGACTAAAGATTCAGCAGGAAGAAGATTAGGAGTTAAGAAATTTGGAGGAGAAGAAGTGTTTCCAAATGATATTTTAATAAGATAAAGAGGTTTTAGATGGAAACCAGGATAGAATACATCAGTAGGAAAAGATCATACTATTCATTCAAGAGTTGAAGTATAAATTAATTTAATAACTAATTAAATAGGGTATTGTACACTTCAGAAGAGATCCTTATAAATTTAAGAAAACATTTTATGTTGATGTAATTCCTAGAGAAAATCCTAATAGAACTCATTATCCACCACCTCCATACAGTTATCATCCTGAATTATTCCCTGAATTAGCTAAAAGTAATCCTGAACCACTTATTTTATTGAAGAAAAGTGAAGAGCAAGTGGAAGTTTAAAAATAATATTAAGGATTTAAAATATCTACAAAATAATACAAAGCAATTGAAATACCAGATAATTATAAACCAGAATTTATAGTTTCCACTTTGTAATAATAATAGTTGAGTATTAATAAATAGTGATAATATATTAAAAAAACATATTAAAATATTCAAATATATATATATATGATTAAACCATTTAGAGGAACTGATGGAGCATAATATGCTCATAATTTTAAAAATACATATTTATCTGAAGCAGAACTTCAGAAACCATCTAAAGAAGTAAGTGAATAGATTGCAATTCATACAAAAAAATAATTAGATTAAATGGTATTCTCAAAATAATGTGCGACTATGGGATAATTAAGAGCATCAGATGGAGCTGCTTAATAATATATTAAATATACTCCAAAATAAGGAGATTAACAAATTGGATAAGAAAAAATTGTTAAGTAGAAACTTTTTATATTTTTAAAGAGTTTAAGCTCAGTAATTGGATCCTATGGAACCTCCACGTTTTAAACATAAAAGAATTCCTAAAGGTCCAGGATCACCGCCGCCTATTTAAATGAGATCTCCACCAAGAAAATTAACTTTAAAAGATTAATAAGATTGGAAAATTCCTCCATGTATTTCAAATTGGAAAAATGCTAAAGGTTATACAATTCCATTAGAAATGAGATTATCTGCTGATGGTAGAACATTATAACATGTATTATACATATTATTATTTTTAAAAGCATACAGTAAATGCAAAATTTGCTTAATTAACTGATGGTCTTTATATTGCGGAAAGATAATCAAGAAAAGAATTAGAAGAAAGAAATAAAATATTGAAATCTATGCAATATAAAGAATATTAAGAAAAAGAAGAAGAAAATAGATAAAAAGCCATGGAAGCTAGATAAAGAAAGAATCTTCTATTAGAATAAACAACCAAATAAGAAGAAGCAACAGAAAATTAATCATAATAGGAATTGTAAGCCAGAGAAGAATTAAGATATTTAAGGAAAAGAGAACTGGAAAGATAATTAAGATAAGAAAATTAAGGAAAGAAGAAACTAAATAGAGATAATGATAGAGATATAAGTGAAAAAATTGCCCTAGGTTAAGCATAACCTACAACTCAAAATACTTTATATGATTAAAGATTATTCAATTAAACTCAAGGTGTAAGTCATGGATTTGGAGATGAAGATGAATATGAAGCTTTTGATAAACCTTTATTTAATGATGTACCAAGAGCCAATCTTTATTCAGGTATATAAAAAGGAGAAGAAGATGATAAGTATTATTATTTTTTTGTATTCTTTAGTAATAAGAATTTGAGAAATGCTCCTGTTTAATTTGAAAAAGCTGACAATATCTTTGGTATGGATTCATTCATTGCTGATCCCGTTGCTAAAAAAGTTAAGATCGATTGAGCTATTAATATATATTTTCATTTACAAAATATTCTTTCATTTTTATATCATTTCATATTCTTATAAAAGATTAATTATTTAAATTCAATTTGAAAATAATCCATTATTCCCACACTAAATCAATTTAAGTTTACATAATTTGCATCGAATCAAAACTCAATAATAGTAATAAACTATTAAACCTAAATAAGGAAACATTACATCAAAACTTATATAAAATAATGAAAACTGATTTTGATCTATATATAAGATTAAATATATAAAAAATAAATATAAATATGAATTAATAAAATAATTGAAATGGCTTATAATTTAATATTTGTTTAAATTAGACTATTGAAATAAAAAGTAACATCTAGATAACTTACATATTTAGGCAATTTAAAAAAAAATCAAATGCATTAAGCTGATAATTTTAATTCATAAAGTTATTGAATAACTTTGATTTTCCATGCCATAAGTATGAATCAATATTACTTTTAAGAAAAAGGTATTTTAAATTAATATAGTTTTTAAAGTAAATAAGTTTTTATTTTTTTATATATTTTGATAATCTTGAAAATTTGGTAATTGAATAAAATTTATTTTGATATATCAATTAATTGTTAAAATTTAATATAAATATATTTTTTTTAGATTTTTCAAAATTAATACTTGATAATGAAAAAATATTTTATGAAGTTTTAAAAATATGTCATAATTCATAATTCGTTTATTCTTAATAAATTAATCAAATTTTTGAGCTTGAGTGAAATAATTTTCGGCAGTTTAAGTAAAAACAGAACCATAAATATCTTTAGATCCAGGGATTTAATATTATGGATTTAAAGGATTTGTATATCGAAAATTAGGTTATCCTTTTTTCAAAGAGCCTGATTTTACAGCTTATAAATCAGCAAGACTGTTAGTTTCATGATAATCTTTCCTATCTTCAGTTCTTAGGAATTGAGATGATAATGATCCAGGTTAAGTACCATCAATATCAGAATTTAATAAACTTTATCTTTATTCTTTTAAATATAATGGTTTACTTTGACTTCCTTCAATTTAGCCAATGATAATTTTATTTCTAGAAAATAGAATAAATACCCTTTATCATCATAATGTTGATAGTAGTTTTATGTAATAAGTAATCATTAATATCTTTAACAAAGAGGGATTCAATTTTATCTAAAGAATATGTAATTTAATACCTTTAGGAATAAATTTAGGGATTTGATGAGATCCATATATGTCTTCATGTTCTGAATCTTTTATAATGATTTTCTTATGTGTTTATTTAGGTTAAGCTCCTTGAATATCTTAAATATTATGGCCATCTCTAATGAATTTAGGTTAATGTGGTTAAGAGGCCATATAAGTAGGTAGTTTATATTATGGTTTGAGAGGATTAAGTGGTTAACGTGATGTTTAAAATTTAACAATTTTTGGTCTAGAACCTTTAATGTCATCTATAGTTAACTGTAAATCATGCCTATTAGAAGGACGTATATTTGACTTTGATCTTGCACCTTCTATATCATCATTTTTGTTGATAAAATCTCATTTATGTTAATAATTAAATTATTTCGCTATTGATCCTTCAATACCATGATTATTAGATGTTTCTCTTGGTGTAAGGATTGGCTTTGTATTTTCTAATAAGCTTGTTATAAATATTTTAGTTACTTATAGTTTAGAGATTCATAATATCAGTAAGTTTCGGAAATGGTCATTAGTAGGGATCATTACTCATTAAGATGTTATATAAACTAATAATTATAATATATATATATGATTATTAGAGAACTAAAACTTTTCAATACATTTATCAGGCCGATTTAATTTCGATTTATCTTTTAATAAAAGAATAAATTTTTTTAATGTAAGATTAGTAACCAGAATAACCAGTCTAACCAGAATAGAAAGTCTAGCCAGAATAACAAGTTTAAGCAGTTGTTGCTGAAGGTGAAAAAAAGTCAAAGAAATAATAATAAAGAGAAAAAAAAGAAGAAGAAAAAGCTAAAAAGAAATAACAAGGACAATAAGGTGATCATCCAGTAGGAGGATAGTAAGTATAAGAAGCGGACAATTGTGTTGGAAAGTATGGAGATTTATAAATGATTCAATCACAAGAAAGAACAAATAGAAAATGGATAAAAGTTGGAGATGTTGATTAAACTTTAGTAGGTTAGGTTATTTTAGTAAGATCAAGAATTCATAATTCAAGAGTGAAAGGAAAGTTAGCCTTTTTAGTTTTAAGGGATAATTATAATACAATTTAAGTAGTGGCTGAAAAAGGTGAATTTGCTAGTACTTAAATGTTGAAGTATATCTCAGGAATTCCACTTGAATCAGTAGTTGATATTGAAGCACTTGTCAAATAACCACATAAAGAGATTTTATCTTGTACTTAAAAAGTAGAATTAGAAGTGAGAACAATTAAAGTTGTAAGTAGATCTTAACCTATGTTACCATTCTAAATTGAAGATGCTTCTAGAAGAATCACTGATTTTGAAGATGGTGTATAAGAAATCAAATAAGAAGAAGTTTAATAAAAATAAGAAATTTTATAATAATAAGATAAAAATGAAAAATAAGAAAAATAATAAATATAAGTCATGTTAAAAACTAGATTAGATAATAGAGTTATTGATCTTAGAACTCCTGCTAAATAAGCTATTTTTAGAGTTTAATCAGGTATTGGATTATTGTTTAGAGAGTTTTTGGTTGAAAATGGATTTATTGAAATTCATACACCTAAATTAATTGGAGGAACATCAGAAGGTGGTACTAATGTATTTAAATTGAAATATTTCAATTAAGATGCTTGTTTAGCTTAATCTCCATAATTATATAAATAAATGTGTTTGATGGCTGATTATGATAGAGTTTTTGAAGTTGCTCCTGTTTTTAGAGCTGAAAATTCTAATACACATAGACATCAATGTGAATTCATTAGTATGGATATTGAAATGGTTATTAAGGAACACTTTACTGAACTTTTAGATTTAATGGGTGATTTGTGTATATATATGTTTAAAGGAATTGAAAAGAGATACTAAAAAGAAATTGAAATAATTTCTCAATAATTCCCATTTGAACCATTTAAAATTCCAGAACCTGTATTAAAACTTACTTTTGAAGAAGGTGTCAAAATGTTACATGAAGCTGGAGTTAATTAAGATCCAAATGATGATTTAGATACAACAAATGAAAAAACATTAGGAAAATTAGTAAGAGAGAAATATGGAACAGATTTTTATATTCTTCATAGATATCCTAAGAAAGCAAGACCATTTTATACAATGCCTTGTCATGATGATCCTAATTACACATTATCATATGATTTTTTTATGAGAGGTGAAGAGATTGTATCAGGAGCATAGAGAGTGCATGATCCAGAACTTTTAATTAAACAAATTAAAGAGAAAGGAATTGCAGTTGAACCATTAATGGATTACATAAATTCATTTAGGTATTAATTAATAATAAATATATTTAGATATGGTGCATACCCACATGGAGGATGTGCTTTCGGATTAGAAAGAGTTGCATTTTTATATTTCAATCTCAAGAATATCAGAAATGCATGTATGTTCCCAAGAGATCCTGTTAGATTGTTCCCATGATTTAAATGTACAAAAATAAAATATACAAAATTAATCATAAATCTGGTTATACAACAAATTATGAAATTAATTCAAATCCTTATCTCATTCTCTAAGTGTGATCTATTTAAACTTCCCTCACAGCACATTGTAAAAATGAGACATATAGAAATCTTGAACAATAATCTTTGTTGTCTTATTCATTTTTTGTATGGAATAATAAAATCACAGTCGTTTTTTATGATTAAGCACCTTATAAAGATTCAAAATTATAATCAGTATAATGCTATTCATGAGTGACCAATAAGTTAGATTCTAAATACTCACTATAAATTTATAGTAATATATATATACTGTTCTATTTCTATTGGATCATCTGATATTACTAAATCAACAGAATTATTTTTATATTATGATTAATATTCTCTTATAACTCCATAAGCATTGTAATCTTAACCGAAAAAGGCTCTAAAAGTACTACTCTTAGCTTTCACTAAATGTTCAATATTTAGAGATGCCTCTTAAAATAAAAATGTATTAAACAAAGAAAAATCATATAATGTATGTGATCCTATTATAATTACAATTAATTATTTTTCTTAGGCTTAAGTGATAATATCATTCAATTTCATTCCATCTTCAAAATTAAAGATATCTTTATTAAAATAATACACAAGTGGGTAATTATTATGATACATTAACGAAACAGTAGTTGCTGGATGAATTATCAAATAAGGTAAAACAAAATGCGTATTTTATGATTTCTAGACTGACATAAAAAGTGAAGAAGTGTGATTTGTACCTAAACATATTGGAATACTTTAATTTTTATTTTCATCTGATAATAATAAGTTACTCGAATCATGTTTTCCTTCACATTTTTATATGCATCTCCCATAATTATTTAAGTAAAACTCTTAATACCAATAAATGATACTTCATTTTAACATTTGTAACAAGTTCCAATAATATGCATACACTCAGCACATCTATCTTCACATTTTTTACATTGTTTCTCTTCTCGATTCATATAATAACCACTTTCACATAAAATTTAACTATATCTTCTATCCTACTAAACTATTTCATCCACTCTCTCTTTATTATCTGTTTCATTCTTATGTTTAAAATATTCTTTTATCTCTTTATTTAATTTGTCTGTTTATTTTTATAATTCTAAATTAATATATATTTATCTATTGTACCATCAAAATCGACATTTTATTCTTCATCTAAATTTTCCTTCTTTTCTTTTTCTTGCTTTATATGATTAATTGTCTTATTCTAAACTTCTTAATTATCATCAGAATCATTCATCTTTGGATCATCATTCTATTTTAGATCATCTTTTATATTCTCTTCAAGTTGAACATTTATATTATCTTCAACCTATTTTGAATCTTTACTATATAATATCTTCTCATTTTTATCAGGAATTGCTTTAAATTAAAACACGTATTACTTGTTTTATTTACTTTTACAAAATTTTAGATATTATTTTTCTAACCATTGTTTGTTGAATTACTCTAACCAACATATATCAATATGGCTCCTAGAAATGTCACTATGATGATCCATATCAAAAAAGATTTTTAACTAGGTTTAGGTTTTTCTTTTTTCTTTGCTACATAATCTAATTCTCCATCATCATCTTATATGTCTAAGGAATGCTAATCATTAGATATTGGCTTATAACTCATCCTTTAATTTATTAATTATAAAAATAATCCAATAAATAATTTTAATTACTCTCTCTGTTTAATCACTCATGTATAATTTTTTGTAATACAAACAAAATAGAATACCTTATCATTTACTTTAATATTAATCAATTATTGATAATATAATAAATTAGTAAAAATAAGTTTAGATATAGGATATTCAAAATTTATGAATCTTCTTTGTTATTTCACTGCATCCCTTTCTCTTCTTTAATTTTAATGTTTGCTTAACATCTGAAAATCCTATATACTCAAGATAGTTAATTTCACCTGTTGTCACATGTTTAAATTCACTTAAATTTTTTTATTAAATTAATCTCTTCTCTCCACTTTTCTATTAAATAATCTATTTTATAGTATATTTGTCATTCGCTATTAAAGAAATTTACTATTATTTTGTGAATATTTCTAATCCTGGCTTAAAATTTATAAATTTTTCATCATTAAAACAACATCTTTTCATTTTAAGTGTCTCATTAGTACCTTCTTCTTAATTTTCAAACTTTAATCTCTTAGCTAACATTGATGTTATCTCATCCATTTCAACCATTTCTAAACTACTTTCGAAATAAAAATCATCTTATGTCAATGTGTCTAATTATTATTTTCTTCTTATTGGTACTAATATTTTTCTTTATAACATTCCAATTTATATTTATAAATATTTAATCTCATTATGGAATTGGTATTTTAAATTTACAATAAACATAAAAAAATTAAATTAAATAAACTTATATTTCCCTTTTCAATTTGAATTATTTTAGAATAATAAGAAGCAATCAATTATATAGTAAAGTAATCAGATCATTTTAAAAGAATTAATTTAATTAAACAGTATCTAACTCTTTTGATTATTAAAATGTAATTTTAAACACATAAAGTTACAATTATGTTGAGATCAAGTATTAAATAGGAACAAAACGACTAAAAAATTAATTTAATAAAATAATATCAGAAGATGAGATGAGATAAAAGAAGAAAAGAGACTATATTTAATTAAGATTCACATTAATGGTTAAAAATATTATTTTACATTTACACTGTAATTATTAAGTTCAAAAGTCTTATGATTATATATTATTAAAAGATTAGGAAGGGTAAATAATCTATAAATTATAAAAGCAGGGGTGTGAAATTTAAGAAAGTTAACTTTAAATTAAAAAAAATATAATGATAGAGATTATATAATAAAATGCTTAAATAATTTGAGTCTTGAGTTATTAACTATAATTATTAAATAATTGAAATTCAATGATACCTAATACAAAAAGAGATTTAGTAGCCATAGAATATTTATAACAAAATGTTTATCCTGGTTTATAGCCAGCATTAATGAAGGTATTCTAAATTAATATTATTAGTTAATTGATCATGTTGTGAAATCAGATGAAGTTAGAAAACATTAAGAAAGACTTAAAAAAATAAAAATATTTGATAAAATTGAATAGAAGAGAGTTGAAAAAGAGAGACTAAGAGCTGAACTTGGATCTGAATATGAATCTTCAGATGGATCTGTAGATTTAGATGAAATGGGAATTAATTAATCAGAGTTTCATAAATATATGGGAAAAGAATAAAAAGAAATTCAATCACCTTTACCAATGGATGAATAAATATAACAAGGAGGAGTAGAAGAATAGACTTCATAAGAATTAAAAAAAGACACTTTATTATCTTTAGGAGAAATTAGAGAAGACTAAGAAGATGAGGATCAAGCAGATAAACATGAATTAGAAAAAATGAAGTAATTTCTTAGGTAGCAAAGAGAAGAAATGTCATTCAATCCTTTGCTATTTCTAGCCCAATAGATTCGAGATATTATTGCTGCAAACAATTGAGTAATACTCATATATAATCTGTTTTTTAATTTTCATTAAATATTTATAATGCAAAGATTCTTCAAACTTTATATTATTATTTTTAATGACAGAAAAGAAAACTTCAGCTGATTTCCTACGCTTACAAAATAGGAATAATTAATTTAAAAAATGTTAAGATTGTCTCAATATTACCTTATCTAAGGGTCCAATTGCAAACATATTTTTTAAAATGGAATAAGCGTATTCTCATATTTCATTTTTAGATTATGTTCCAGTTGCATCAATTCAAATCTCTATATAGTACCAAAAACTTAAGAATTTTAAGATGCAGAAACTTTTCCCTTTACAGTATACAAAAAGATATTGTGTAAAGTACATAAACATGAATAAAGATTAAAATGCTAGGAATGCTCTATTTATTTAAATCAAAAAAATTATGCCAAATGTCCCTTCTGTGATTTTAGCATTTTTAAAAGAAATTTAAAAAAATGGAGTTTGTAATTATTCTATAGCTATTATAGATTATACCCAATTCATCAATGCTAAGTCTGCAACCATTTTTAATGTTTGAAATGTAAATCGGTTCCTGGAATTATGGGAAATGATGCTATAGAGTGTTACACTTGTTCAGAAAGAAGTTAAGATTAATTTTTTCACATAAAACACACACTTAAATAAATGAATACTCTTAAAGGCATATAATTTCTATTAACCATTTTTTGTGTCGCTATTTTTACACCTATTTCGATTATGGGCAAAGCAACTTCAATTACACAAGAGATCATTCAGTGGAAACCCCTTTCCTAGGTGACTTTCAGATAATACTTGTTCAAATTACTTTATACCATTATAATGGGACCCTTCTTATGGTTATGGATATATCTAAGATACTTTTGTCATTTTTATTGGTAAAGCTATTAAGATAATGTTCGTCTCTTGTATCGCTAAATGATACCTTAACCTTGATAAATATTTTATTCACAATATTTAGTCAAAAATTATAGTATAAATTGGAATAATTATTAAAACATTTTTTCTTCTCTAAATTTATAACTAGATATTATAAATCTTTTTATTGAACAAATTCTCATATTGATATTAGCTCTTTTTTCAAAAACTTATGATTTTTATTCTTACTTTAATTAGATTTTAAGAACTTATGATTTATTTCCTTTCTAAGTGTTAAAACATCTGTTCTAGTAAATTATTTTTCTTTAAAATTATAATCTTTTAATTTAAAAAGAAACATTTCATTTAAATGATTTAATAATTACATTCTTCAACAGCATGTTAGAAATTAATTTATCTTACTATCAATGAACTTAAAAGAAAATCTAATAAAATTATTTTCATTCTAAAAACTTCATTTAAACTACATCCATTATTATTTAAGGTATTTTGTTGCTGGTTAATTTTAGATCATTTAATCAAATATTTCAACTTCACTTAATTTCTTTTAATTTTCTCCATTTTTTCCTCAATTAACTAATAATCCTAATTCTTAAATTTATATAATATAAATTTTGATGCTTGTTTATTTAAATAAGTCATCAAAAATTAATTGAAGATTTTAAAGTAAAGGATCAAATTGGAAAATCAATAAATCGAATAAAATGAAATATTAAGAAAAAAAGAAAATGAATTTAATGTGCAATTAACGAATTATTTAAAACAAAAAATGAAAAAACATAATCCGTTTTTTAGAATAAAAAATCATTTAAAAAATGAGTTTGATTTAGGATTGAAGAAAATTTAATATAAAAATCAAATCAATGGAAAAATATCTTTTAGCAATTTAAAATATATAGAAATAAGAATTTAGTACAGATGAAAAAAAAACTTAGAGGTAAGATGGAAAAAAACTTATAAAAAATTAAGAAAAATTGAAGAACTTATTATAATTCTTAGAGTAAGTTACTTATAATATTGAAACCTTTATTGCTGAAAAATTAGTATATATGAGAGGATTAGAATATATTTAATCTAGTTAAAAAATAAACTATAATTATAATATATGTAAGAAATTATATAATAATTGGAAATAACTAATTGAATGTGATTGAGATAATTAATTTGAGAGAATAATAGCTAAAAATAGCAAATCAGAATAATTTTTGAAATCTTTTATTATTTATTCATATACACTAAGTTATAAAGAATTAGTTATCATATAATTATCAATGTAAATTAGTACTTAAATGATTTGATTTTTAAAACTAAATATGGTTTTTTTCTAAAATAGATCAAGGAAAGGATGAATTTTTGAAAGGTGTAAATACCTTAGAGATGGTAACAAACAGCATAATATGGAGAGTTCTATAAGAGTATGCTTGAGTAGAAATCTCATTAAGTTATATGGTGATTTTTAAAAGATTTATTCATAATATAATTCTAATATCGTTTTTATTATTTATAATAACTTAAAATGAAAGTTTGTGTTTTCATTTTGATAATAGGATTGGTTCTATGTAACTAACTGAATGGATAGAACAATCTTAGATAAGATTATTAGTTTGCTCCTTGGAGTTTGGATTGTACAAATAGATGTTAAAGTGCTGGAGGAGTTGTTTGCGGATATGAAACATAAGTTTGTTGCAAATCAGTATCAAGATAAAAGTATTCTGATAGGGTAGATGTTAAAAAGGCTGGAAATCTGAGACATGTGGTATTTGGGATAGAATTCATGTTCTAAATTGTGTTCCTGGACCAAGCAGCAAATGAAATAAAAAATAATTATTAATATGAGCTTATTTTTTTAATTTCAAATTTTCGCTAGTTCTAACAATTCAGTTAATGACATTGGATGATCAAATATCATGTCTTCCTTATATAAGGAAATTATAATTTAACAAAATGGTCTTAAACTCTAAATCTAAGCATCATTCTCATTTTCTAGGGTCATTAATTCTAGATGTTTCACTAATTTTCTTTAAAGTTTTGATTTCATAAGTATTTCTCTTTTGAAAGTATGAAATTTTCTTTTTTAAAGAATTCTTTTTATGTATAATTCTTTGATTTTTTAATCCAATTACGTATCTAGTGTTATATAAGTTTTAAATTTGTGTATTTTGTTTAAAGTTAAATCCAATACATATTTTTCTAAATCATTAATTTTTAATATAGATTTAAGTTTTTCATACAATTCATAATTTAAGATAAGCCTTTTAATTTCATTGATTTCTTCAAAAATGTATTTAAAGTAAGGTTTCATAACTTCATGATTTAAGACTTATTCCCAATCATACCTATCCTTTTCATCATATTTCAACATATTAGTTATTAGATCTTATAATTTTTGAGATGTTTTATTAGTATATACTATATTTTATTTTAATTTTTCTTAAGCACAGATCAGATCTCTGATATCTTACAATTCTGATCTCCAAGGATAGACTCCTTCAACCAATTAAAATAGGATTATTCCAATTCCCCAAACATCATTTTTTTCTAAATCATATCTCTCAGATTTTAAATTTTAAGGAGACATATAGATTGGAGATCCTTTGTGGGGAGTAACATTAGATAAATCCATGAACCTAGACATCCCAAAATCTATTAATTTAGGAACATTATTAGAAAACATGATATTATCAGGCTTAATATCTCTATGAACTGCTCCTGATCTACCATCGAAACTTAATTATCTCATATATATTAGAGCATCTATTATTTGTGACATCATCTCAATTGACCAGTCTAATTTCATTTTATTATATTACCTTCGGGAAATTGTTTTGTGCTCATCAATTCATCCTCATAACCTAAACTCATCATTTAAGCTAAAGAGCCTTACTCACAATATTCCATAAATATGTAAAAATTATTCTAACTTGTTGAACATTCGTAATATTTTACAATGTTTTTATGATTCAATTATCTCCCAAGTATTAATTCTAAGTTTAGTTTATCAAATAGCTATTTCTATAAATATAATTCTATAAAATTACATTATAAGTTGGTATTGAAAACCTCTTGACACAACACTCTAATTATTAATTAGTGTTATATCCAATATAACCTTTAAAAATTTATCCATTATTTCCAGCATCTGGGTCAATTTAATTACCAGGGATATAAACTAAACCTTTTTATTCATTCAAACATACTAAGTTGTTTTTCATAACAACTGTTTTTAAGAAGCCTTAATTGTTTTATTACATTTTTATTAGTCTCTTTTTGTAAATATATATATAATTTAAAATAAAAAAATCTAGCTAATTCTATTATAATATAAATAACGATCAATTCCATCTTATGCCAAGTGCTTTCATATATTCTATTCCTTTGTTTATGTTTGTTTCTGATTAAAACTTAGATTCAATATTTTTTATCTCATTAAATCCTTAATCAAACTTATTCAAAAACCCATCGTTCGTTGAAACCAATGGATCGTATAATTAGTTTTAGACTCCTTATAAATAAGAAATGCATAACTATCTTTAACTTCTTATAATTGAATAATAGGAGAACGCAGAAAAGAATTTACCATGCTAAGTTGTCTAACCATTTATTCTTTCAAAATGTTAACGTCCTCCGTTGTACCTTTTGAAATTTGGTTTTATTTCAATTTCCTAGATGGCATAAAACTAAATTATTAATATCAATCAATTACAAGTTTTTATGGCATTTCTTTCATAAATCCTCCTATATAATCAATAAAATTATTCAATTCTTTTTTAATTACTTCTGGATTATATCTTTTATTAATTTCTTCAAGTCTATTATCATTTTAAATCTATAAAAATGCTTAAATAACATTTTAATTTTTTGGTTGATTTTTACCAAGTTAATATTCTTTAATATAATCATAAAAATCATTTGATTAATCATTACTCATAGCTTTTACAAAATCTATAAAATTTCTAATACCTTCATTTTAAATTTGTTAATTCTCAATTAATTTTATTAAATACTGTTTAAAATCGTAATTTTCTTCTATAATATATTAATCTCTAAATTAGAAATCAAAAATATCTTCAGCTTTTTTTTCGCGTAATTCTTTCACAAATTTTTTCATGAAATCTTAAGAAATAAGAGTAGCCAAACAATTATCAATTGCTGTCTCTTTCATTAGTAATTCTTCATTATCTTATTTTTTGCATTATTTTATACCAAAAATTTTACCTTCAAATATTTTTCTTGTAGGACATTAAAGGCATTTAAAAAAAAAATATTAATCTAAAGATTAATCAGTTGATTGAACTGGAGTTTAACAGTGTATACCTGTTATATTACCAATGTGAATAAGGTCAGCAATTTATCTATAATCCTAATCACTAATATTATATAATGTAGCCTCTGCCCTTTTATTAAGTTTAACTTAATATAATCTAAAATCTACTTTTTTGCATTATGCCTATTTATTTTATAGAAATTTTTCTGGATTCTCCTTTTATAACATCATTGTCTCAATTGCAAATTCAATATTGCTAAAATATTCTCTTGGGACTTATTCTACTAATCTTTATATTCTAAATTAATAAACAGGAACTATCGCTTAATTTTATAATGCAGCAAGCTCTTAGTCTTTTTCTAACATTTTACGATCACTCTCATTTATTTAATTTAACAGTTTTAGTCTCTCTGCTATGGCATCGTCTTCTATCTTTTGTTTTTCTTATATAATTCTGCATAATTCTTAATTTAATCTTTCAATCTCTTTTTCTGCATTTTTCTCTTTCTCTTATTAGAATTCTAACTGATATTTATTCTAATTATCTTGGTTTTTTAATAATTTTTCAATTTATTATTTTTATTATTCTAATTGTTTATCTTTTTAAATTAAATATTAATTTTATTCATCTTATATTTATTCTAGACTTTGATATAAAGAATCTATTTTAATCTTTAAATCTCTATTTTCAGATTACTAACTATTTAAATTAGCCTCTAATTATTATATTCTTAACTAAAGAATTTCATTTTCTTATTTTAATTTATCTTCATCACTTTAGTTTTAATTAAATTATCTTGCTAAAGTTTAATTTTAATAAACTTATACAAAATTTTCCTAATAAGTCATTTCTCTTTTTAAGCCTTCCTTTAGCTGTTTATTATTTTTTTTGTAATTTTTCAACTATTGTTCCAATTCTTCTATTGTATTACACTTATCTTCATATTACTTTTTTTAATTTTGAAGTTCTTTTTAATATTCATTTTAAGAATTCAATATCTCCCTTTTTAATTTTGCAACATTAAATTCCAAATTATATTTTTCTGATTACAATTAATTAATATCATTTTATTTTTATTTCAAATCGTTTTCTGATGTTTCAATTATTTTTTTTTATTTCCCAAAGTCTTCCTTAAATTATATTTTTTCTAATTGATTTTAATTTAATTTATACTCTACTTTGCCTTAATATTATTTCCATTATTACATAACATTATAAGTTTGTTGTTAATATTATTGAAATTATATTCTAACTTATTGTGAACTTTATTTTTCTTACCACAAAATCATTCTATAATTTTCTATTTCTTCTACTTTTCTTTAATATTTATTTAGCATATCTTATTTATTTGCATCTTATGCAGAATTATTTTATTGCAAATCTTTTTCTAAAGATTAAATTTATTATATCTAATATTTCATTTATTCTTGTGCTCTCTTTAAATCTTGTTCAACTGATCTCAATTTATCCTCAATTTCCTTACAAGTCATATCTGATTGACTTTTAACTTATTAGATTTCTTTGAATTTTGCATCTAAAAGAATTTTTAAATTTTAAATCTCTTCCTTTAATTTTTCATTTTCTTCATTTTATTTCTTTATTTCCTTCTCAGCTATTTCAATTGTACTAATCACCTACTGAATGTGAAATAATTTATATTGTTTTTTTGGATCTAATCTTTTCATTTAAATAGATAATTACTTATGATAAAACTTGCTTAGAACTTTTTTCTCTTTTAACTCGCATAATGCAATAAATTCTTCAGGCCACTCTAATTTCAACTCTAAATACTTTAGTCTAATATTACCTTTACAAATATTTCTGTAATAAATTTAATCTTAATCTTCAGTATTGATTTTACAAAATCGATTGCTTCCATCTGGAAGTAGAAAATTAATTTATAACATTAATAGATAATGGAAAATTTTCTGAATTTGCAAAATATAAATTTTTAAATTGCTAATTCTATTAATAATATATTATTCGATTAATTTATTCAAATTATAGGAGACTTACCATAATTAAAATTAAGACTTTTCTGGTCTATGAATTAATAGTATGATTAAGTATTTTTAAATTAAAGATGAATTATATAAATTATTGAATATCCTATTTAATTTTTATTACGATCTAAAATGATTTAAAAAATTAAAATAAAAAATAAATTATATGATTTTTTATTTATTATAAATCAGAATGACCTAAAATTTTTATCGATTTTAATACAGGCATCCTCTAATAGTTTGAGTAAAGCTTCAGTTGTAGCTTCTCTTTCTCTTCTCTCAAAGCTAATGTCTTATTAGAGTTTTCCATGAACGTCTTCAATCATTCTAAAGATTTTCCCTTAAGTTTCTTCTCTAACCTTCTTCTCAACAAGTAATTAATCTGAAAATTTATTTATTTCACTATCAATTTATTCAGTTAAAGATTCTGCGGCTTCTTCTCTATAGATTGATTAAATAAAGTACCTTGATCTTCTTTCCTAATCTAATTAATTTTTGACTAATTAGACTTACTAAAGAACTTCAGCAATTTTGGCTTAACTTCTATCTTCATATTAATGAGTATTTCTTGTTATAGTGAGTGTGATTTAAGCAAATCTTTCATCTATTTATTTTTAAAGCTTAGTTTCAGCTTAACCTCTAGAGTTTCTTTCTTATTCAAAAGATAAGGCAACATTATCTGAAAGTGTTCTAAAGTCTTTTTCTTTTTTGTCATCAAATGCCTAAATAGTTAAAATTTATACTTCTCTTTCAGATTTTTGATTGTGTGATTGATCCTATAATTTTAAGACTTAATCTTTCAAGACCTTAAATCTTTGTTCATCTTTGGGCTTCTCAGATGCTAAAACATCTTCAATGATTTTGATTCTCTCCTCTAATACTTCCCTTTTTTCAAGTTTATCTTTATCTATTCCATTCTAGATGTGATTCCATTTATCAGAAAGTAATTTGATTCTCTATCTTGCTGGAGAATCCAAATCTTAACTGAGATAATTAATTGTAGATCTCTTGGGACTAGACAATTAAGAGGAGGAGAGTTTTGATGTAGCAAGCTTGGATGTTGATAAGAGCATTGAAATTGATGATATTTGTAAAAATAAATTTATTTACGATTTATTTATCATTAATAGCAATAGTATTTCAATTAGATTTATTCTAGGACTAGTTTATAAACTGCCTTTGTAATGCAATTAATTTCATTAATCTCTAAAAAATGAAGACATAAATAGATGAATCACAAGCTTTTATCAAAATGGATAAATAATAATTATGTACTTTATTCATTTCATTTTTAGAATCCAAGTACCACTGTAAGTCATATCATTTTCAAATCCATCATAATACCACTATCCACTAAAAACTCTTACTTCTTCATCAAATTCCCCCTAATAAATGAGATGTTACCATAATCCTGATTGTCTTGCTTGCTTTTATTCTTCATAATCCTTTATAAACCAAATTTTAAGTTAATTACTAAAATCTATTATAGTGACTCCAGTACCACTCCATGCACCGTACTTATCATTTCCTAAAAGAGAAATTTAAATATATTATTCTTTCTCATTAATTTTACACATTATTTAGACATCTTCTTCTTTGTGAAGTTTTCCATTTTGTGTAAAGATTAATTCATTTTAAGATTCATTTAACATTTTACCTACCTTCCGGAATTGATTCAATAAGAGGTTGCTATTTTTTATTAAAATGGCATTATTTAAAAATTACTCCATCATTATTGTCCTTCTATTTAAAACACATCGAAATAATCTGATGACTTACTTTCTTTTCCAAATTATAAATAAGATTAACATTAAACTTAAAACTATGCAAGTTATGCTTATTATTTAGATTATTGGCTATTCTTTCTCGATTTTACATTCTTTATAACATCGATCAAAATCATCATTATTTTTACATTACTCTTTGCAACTCTTCACTTTTGAAGATTCATCGAAAACATTTTGAGATTTTGATATATTGAATTCATTTCCAAATACGAATGGAAATAGTGAAAAGTAAAGAACAGATTTTATATAATCAATTTAATTCATTATTTAAATAAAAAGGAGCAACTCTAAGTAATTTCATAAGCATGCATATCTTTAAATTCTTAAACTTCAATCATTCAGCTTTTGATATGGTAATACTTGCAATCCAATTCATTCGCAGTATCCAATTATTTTTTCATCATCTTTCTATTAGGCTATTAGGCTTTTATTCATCATTTAGAATTATAGGTATTTTGTTTAATTCAATAAGGCAACAGAATTTAATTTGTCTATATACTTAAAGGTAATTTGCAAGCGTGACCCAGATTTTGATTAATCTAGAATCATCAATTATTCAACACCAATGATTTTAAATGTTTTATCCTCTCCAGAAATGGCTTTTAGTTTTCTATCTTTTAATTAAGTA